ACCAAAAATGACCACTAAATTCAGAAAGGCCGACTTCCTGTTGGTTTTAGGGTCCAAGAGGGTTTTTTGTGTTATTGCTGAATTTCTCCAGACTTTTATTTTATCTCGTTATCAGCGACAGAAAATAAAGCCGAATATAAATCGATGTTTTTATGATTGTTGTTACTACTGGAAACGTTTGTGCGTGAAACAGGATGTCGTGTTTCTGTTTCCTGTTTGTGTTCAGAAGGGATTTAATGTGCAGCTGCTGTTTGACTGAAGTCACTTTTATTTCTTTATCCATCGTTTTTTTACGGCTGTTTTCTGTTTTAATATTATTTTATGAATAAAGACTGAAGTGGACTAACAGACTGTAAAGATAAAACATTTTCAGGGTTTTATTGATGATGTCGATTCTTTGACCTACTGAAGACGTCATTTCACTACGAGTCCTCGTCCTGATATCAGACTGTTAACTGATGAGACGCTCAATAAAACTCTTAATATATCAGTGACTGTTTACTTACTGAACTACATTTATGAATGATCCTAACATACAGCGTCAGTAACACAGGTAGATTCTGCCCGTTCAGCTTTACCCACTTTCTGATGAAATATTACTTTATTCTCATTAAATTACAACATAATACAAATTTATTCTCAAAATACTATTTTTTCCCCAAAATATGGCCCCAATGCTCGTAACAGTCACATGTTCTTGTTAAGAATTCAACTAAAACTTTACTCACTGAATTATAAAATAATAATTACAAAACAGATATACACAGAGTGAAATATAAATATACTTGATAATTAAAAGCATAACTTTTATAATAAAATATATTATAAAGATTTTTGGGGAATATTTGGACGAGTATTTTTTTGTGGTTTTATGATTTGAGGTCATTGATGATACAGTGATTATAAGCGATTCCTCAGTTTAATTCTCTTTATGGTTAAAATAAATTTAAACTTTATTTTCATAGTGAACTTTTTTTTTATATTTAATTTTTTAAATATTAAAAAAATAATAATTCTCTTGTATATTAATAAAATAAAATAATTTAAAGCTGTTCACCTCTATAAGACACATTAAACATTTATTAATAAACAAAAAGTTTATGTACAAACAGTGATTTTAAAACATATAAAACATTTTGCTGCCATAAAAACAAACATAAGGTGCGTTTAAAGTTAATACTGATGTTTATAAAGTCAGCTCAGAGTCACTGAGGCTGCAGTTTGTCCTCCCTCAGCCTCCGTACCCACAGCAGAGTCACTGGTTCAGATTCGGTTCAGTTTGTTCTGGGTCATCTGAACCAGCTGCTCAGAGTATCTCTCCAGCAGAGACATCATCCTGACGTCCTCCAGTGGACCAGAGGGGGCGCTGCTGCCCCGCCCGCCTCCGCCCCGCAGCACCGCCTGCAGCTCAGAGGCAACGGCATCAAACGCCTCCCGCAGGACCAACGACGTCTGCAGACGCTGCTCTGAACTGTCGACTGAAACGCCGAGCTGCAGGACGGAGACAAAACAGTAAGTCGTATTAAACTCTAAAAACCGAAATATTCCAAGAAATATTAGGAGATAAAAAGTTACAAATGTTTATAAAAGTCAACTCATTCCAGTCAACAACAAACAGACACAGTCAGAGAGGAAGTTCACCTGTTGGTAGAGGTGTACCGCTCGTCTCGCTGTCTGTCTCAGCTCGTTGGCGACCTGCTGACTCTGCAGCAGACTGACCGACTCTTCATCACCTGAACATGAAACAAAACATCTTAGAGCCTGAACACAGGTAGAGTTTGTCCTGAAGGGGGCGCTACAGGAAGCTTCGTTCAGGGTTCATCCTCTGTGGAACCAGAATCAGAAACTTTCAGGATGATCTGATCAGTACATGTTAAGATATCGAGGTTACCTGTCTGAGGGAGGTGGAGTGTTTCTGACAGAGGAGAGGAAGAGGAGGTGGGCAGGTCAGAGGAGGACGGGTCTGATGCTGCGAACATAAAGAACGAAGACATTGATCGGTCAGAAACTCACGTTATGACAAAAATATAGTGTGAAAAAGATTTAGAGAAAGTTGCAATTTCTCGAATCAAGAATCTTTCATATAAATACAATAAAATGTTACATTCTTAGAAAATATATAGTGACCAATATTTAGTGATTTACATAAAATTTCCAAGTCATACCATAAGTAAAACAGCAAAATATATTTCAAGTACAAAAACGCAAATTTTGAGAAAATTGTTAATATTTCAAGAAAAAACATGAAAAAACATTTAAAGAAAGAAATTTTAATATTTTGTGTAAAATGCCCTATCAGAGTCGTATTTTTAATATATTTGTAATTTATCATTGTATATGAAACTTGATATTCAAGAAATGTTATTTTTTTTTAAATCCTAAAATTTAATTTAAAAAAAATTCCAGGTATGAGGACAATAACAATTTAAAGTAAAAAGAACAATTTTGTAATATTTCAAGATAGCTACGCAAGAAAGTTCTAAGAAAAAAAGCAATATTTTGAGTAACAGTTGTAATTTGTCAAAATATATAAAACTTGATATTTCAAGAAGAAACGCTTAGAAAAAAAATAAACAAAGAAAAAAACATTTCCAGGAAAAAAAAAAAAAAAAAAAAACGAGAAAATTCGACATAAAAGCTTTAACGTATCTGGAAAACATCACAATAAAGAGAAAAGCTGCGTTCCGCGTCAAATCATGATATTACGAGAAAATGTAAGATTTTAAGACAAAAGATTAAAATATTTAAAAAAGGAGACAAAAGTTCTGATACCAGAAAAAAATAATTTAGAGATGTTGTCCCCATCCATCTTACCCGGATCAGTCTGGATTCTGTTCTCAGATCCTCCTGAAGACTCCTCGCGCCTGGAGGCGGAGCAGCTGATGATGTCACAGACAGGGGGCGTGCATGTGGGGGTGATGGAGAGGGCGGGGCTCTGGACGAGGGTTTGATTCGTCTCCTCGACGCTGCTGACGCTCCACCTCCCGCCCTCACCAAGCGACATCACCTCAGTGGGCGTGGTCAACACTTGCGGGCTCGCCACAGGTAGGTGGTCCAAAGCCTTCTGGGACAACGGAGAAAGGCTGAAGGAAGCAAAGAAAAAGAGAGACAGCGTGAAGCATTAAGAGAAAACAAGGAGTCGAACAGACAACTTTATTTCTCAAAATATACAAACTTTTTGATTTCAAGTCAGTTTTTCTAAATATTACAACTTTTTATTTAAAATATTTATCTTTTCTCCACTTTTTTCTACAAGTATTACAGTTTTTCTAAATATTATGAATTTTCTCCCCATCAAATTAATTGTTTTTATTACTTAATGACTTTTCTTCCCACCAAAAATCACCGATTATATTTTCCCCCAAAAAATATTTTTCCTACTTAAATGGAATAATTCAACAATTGAATTTTGCGACATAATAGAAATATCTAAAAAGATAAAGTGGACTACCTGAGATCAGTCCAACTGTTTTCTGTTTTAATATTATTTTATGAATAAAGACTGAAGTGGACTAACAGACTGTAAAGATAAAACATTTTCAGGGTTTTATAGATGATGTCGATTCTTTGACCTACTGAAGACGTCATTTCACCACGAGTCCTCGTTGTCCTGATATCAGACTGTTTACTGATGAGACGCTCAATAAAACTCTTAATATATCAGTGACTGTTTAAAATCATCGATTACATTTTCCCCAAAAATATTTTTCCTACTTAAATGGAATAATTCAAATATTGAATTTTGCGACATATAATAGAAATATATAAAAAGACAAAGTGGACTACCTGCTGGTTTGGTCCTGATGGGGGTCAGTTTTGGTGCTGTGGAGTTCCAGACCAGCAGGAAGCTGAAGCTCTGAGGAAGAGGAGGAGGAGGAAGAGGAGAGGTTCTCCTTCTCCTCCTCCTCCTGGGTGGAGGTGGGTGATTCCTGGCTCAGTTTGGCCCTCGAGCTCGCTGTGGTTCCCAGGTATCCGAGACGAGGCGCCCCCTGCTGGACTGTCGACACCAAGCTGCTGTTGTGGGCCTCCAGAGTCTTGGAGGTGACGTCTGATTGAAAAAAGTAGAAAGTCAGGAACTAAAACTGATGATGGTTAAATATCTCAGGTGGAGGTGAACAGGTGTGTGAACTTTAACCAGAACAAGTGATTGAAGGAAGTGAAGATGTTCTTTCAGTTTAGCTTAGCATACAGACTGGAAATGGGGGGAAACTGCGAGCATGGCTCTTCCCAAAGCGAACAAAATCTATCTCTGAATCTCACCAATTAACATCTTGTTTGTTCAATCTGTACGAAACCTGCAGCGTAAAAAGGAAATGTTGTGGTTTTATGGGGATTATCTACAAGCTATTATTTGACTGGGACCAGTAACATCCAGGACTCTCCGCTGGTTTCGTGACAACTGCCCAGAAGGGTTTTAATCTTACGAAAATAAGAGCAAAATGTAATTTTTTCCCTTTAAAGCTATAATTTGTAAAATTTTTCATTAAAATATGTTGTTTCACCGGTCGCCTGTCGATGACGCCATATCCCCTTTGTGCCTGCGTCAGCGTTGTGGTTGTCTGCCAGAAGCTGTCATACATTGACTGTTGATCCAGTCTGAAGCCACATTGTTACCATCCACTGTTTAGATCTTGGTGCTTTTTAACTCTAGATTTGAACCGGATGAAGGATTTTAGTCATCGGACGTCTGGATCTTAAGTTATCAGAGAAACAAGCTGAGCTATCGTTAGCAGCAGCTGAGTTAACACACACCATCAGGATTAAATGACAGAAGACCTCCAACCTCGTGAGTTTAAGAGCAGAAAGAAAAAAAACGATCCCAAACACCCAGTTTTACACACACACACACACACACACACACACCTCGCAGCGTTTCTCTGCACTGGACAACAACCACAGTGTGTCGTCTGCGTGTTGGGCGGCGAAGGGGCTGATGGGAAATCACGCAGGAAGCTCTACGACGAAGGACTGAATGGTTGCATCTCACTGTGATCACACACAGAGACCGAACACAAACTGAACAAACACTCCCGTCTTTAATAAGGAGGAGTTCCTCAGGGAAGCGTCCTGGGGCCTCTGTTCTTTCTATTTAACCTTATATATATGCAAAGAAACACTAACAAATCATCCTGCTCTAATCAAATCAAATAAAAAAAAAAAACAACACAACCAAAGGGGGGGTCCTGATTAAAAATAAAAACTGTGTACATTGGAGTAACAAACTTCCTATTATCAATTACATAAATAAGTAACATTAATTGATCCTGAGCTGTTATTGTTAGAGGATCTCAGTCATACATCTCATGAGTTCTTGATTGATTAAGCTAACTAGTACAGTAGTATCAGTACATCAGTTGAAATATGATAGACAGTCGCTCCGTTTCTCCATATCTCCACCCATAAAAGGAACCGTCAGGCCAACAACCCATAATGCTGCTGTCACGGTCACTACGACTTGCCACTGCAGTAAAGGCGGCGTCGGATGGCTGAACACACAAACCGATCGCCACATTCTTCGTATACAGGAGGATGGGAAAACTCGACACACAAAACACCCAAAAAACCCTGCAGATTTTATTAACTTGTCCTAAACCTGCGTGTTAGTACCCAGACTGCAACATCTTCCAAACACATCAGCAGCAGATGAAGTCAGCACAGTTTCCAAATTGACCTGATTATTTACAATATGCTTAAACTCACCATTGAACACACCTGGCACTAATTTCAGACTACAAAAGTAGCTGCTAGCACTCTCTAAGGTGCTTCCTCACTGCTCTCTGGACATTAACAGCCTATTAGCCCATGTTGAGTACCAATGTGTGGGGACTGAATGTCTGCGATCTGCCATTATTGTCTTTCAGTGACAATTCCGGGGATGTAAAGCTCCCCTAGCATCATTAAAAAAAAAAAGCTACATCTATGCTTGTAGCACGAAATGTTTAAGTTTGTTTGATTTAAACATAATTTCTGTGAGTCAGAAAACCAGAGAACGAAACCTATGACTCACCTCCGCCGTTTTCTTTCTCAGTCGAATCTGTTGAGGCGACGTCGCTGCTCGAGTCAGAGTTCATCTGAAAACAAACATTTAGTCACTGTTTGCCCTTAAGTTAAGTAGTTAACAGTTATTCTCTATATACAGAGTCACATGGTGTCTCTCTCCCTCTGCCTGTGTTGTATCGCAGCCTCTCTGTGGTTTGTTTCCATAGCCGGTCTGCTCCGACTGAAACTGCTGTTTTTATCATCTACGTCGGTGAATTAGGGATTTATTTCCACCAAACCAGAGTTGGTGATTGTTGGAAACACTAACAGAGACGCTTTTAATGAGTTTTATTCTGTTTCTGTTCACTTTGAATGAAGTTACGATGATCTGAAGGTAAAATGAGTGTTTCTGTCTCTGGAGTCTGGTGGAGAGTGATAGTGATATTACGGCTGTTTGTGGTTAAACTAAAGGTCTATCTCTGTAGGGATCCTTTCCATAATGCTGTCAGACAGTGACAATAACAACCTGTCAGTGACAGAAACAACTACTTTTAAAGACTCTCTGGATGAGTTTTACTTTGCTCCTGTCCAGTTTCAAGTGTGTTTTACAATCGTCTGCAAAGTAAAATTACTGGTTTTGTCTTTGAAGTCTGGTCTGAGATGTTGGTGCTCTAGTGCGACCTCTAGTGGCAGTGAATAACCTTTATTCATCAACTGTCAAGAATTCAAAAAGTTCATATTATCAGGTAAATCATTCTGCTCAGGTGTTTCAGGTGTGTTTGTACCGATGTGTTGCCGATGTTGCTCTCCTCTGAGATCCTGGTTGGGATTGAGACAGGAGGCGGAGCGCGGCCCGGCCACGCCCTAAAAACACAGCAGAATGTTATCACCATGGCAACAAGCAGCAATTGTCCAAAGCAGAAAACTCAAGGATGATGTAAACAGTCCCAGAGGATTGTGGGTAGACTGACTTGATTCTGTCCTGGAATCGTGACAGGAAGCGGGTGGAGATGCTGAGTCGAGGGTTCAGGAAGTGTTTCTCCTCCGGAGGCTGCAGCGTCCTCAGGTCTGTGTCAAACTTCTCTGAAAGGTCAAAGGTCACAAAACCCTCAGCATTCATGTGACAGAGACAGCGGTTCAAACTGTACAGACTGATGAAGATGAAGATGAAGAAGAGGGTTTCATACCGTCGTTCAGACTCGAGGCCAGAGTGTCAAAGTGGTTCTTCAGAGAGTTTCTGTCCTCGTCGTCCTCCAGACACAAACTGCCCACTGAGCTGCCCTGACTGAGGGAATCTGTGTCTGATAGTACGAGAGAGAGGAGGTTTATAACAACAACAACAACAACAACAACAACAACGAAGACTACGTATGCAGAGTCATATTCTGCTCTCTGACCGGCGTCGTGCTGCTGCTCCAGACTTCCTGCTGATCCTTCAGAGCAGGCCGAGTCCGGACTCATCTGAGTGCTCCACACCGGCTCCGTCCCCTGACCTTTGACCTCCACCTGGGTCAGAGACCGCCGAGGGTCAGTCACACCCTCAACGTCAAACTCCCTGACAAATACACAGAGACCCCGATTGTAAAAAAACAAATGTTTGTATTTGGATTCAGCTCCATAAGTTATCTGTTACACCTGAAGGTGGAGCTCACCTGTCGGTGGTGGTGTTGGTGTTGGGGTAGAGGATGTAGCTGCTCCTGTTCTCACCGGGATTCTGCTGCACCTGAACGTCACACACAGTCAGAGACAGTCAGAGACAGTCAGCCAGGGACAAGTGGATGTTAGAGGAACTGCAGCGACCTTCATCAAGACACTTCAGTTTTCAGAATCATCCCCGAGCTCACCTCCTTCTCCTCCTCTCCGTCCTCCTCCTCCTCCAACTCCTCTCCCAGCAGACTCTCCAGACTCTGAGGGTGGAAGTCTTCCTCCTCCTCTTCCTCCTCCTCCATCTGACTCGGGGAGAAGCTGGCGCAGATGATCAGAGGGTCCAGCTGCTCTCCCCACCGACTCCTGACCGGACGAGGCTCGGCGTCTGATTGGATGGTGGCGGAGGCTTCGCCCTGACCCTGCTGAACACACAAATGCACACGCTGGAAGAAAATCAATCAGAGACGGATTGATTACCTGTCAACTGATCGGTAAACGTGGGACTGACCAGCTTTCTGAACCACATGGGCAGTTTCCCGTTGGTCTGAAGCAGCGGAGGACCTGAAACACAACAACACGATTCAACACAACCGTCTTCACCAGGAGGAGGAAGATTAAAGACTATCTGAAGAGGAGGATGAAGGTAGAATCTGACCCCAGTCCTCCTCCTCACCTTGAACAGAGTCCAGTCTAGCTGGAGTCCTGCGGTCAGCCTCTTCCTCCTCTTCTTCCATCAGAGGCAGCTGAGAGGAGGGAACAGTGATGAAGGTTTCTCTCCTGAAACAACATGAAGGGACAGAATATAAAAGTTCAGTCGGACACAGAATCAAACCTCCGCAGCTCGAGCTCTCCGACAAGATCTGACCTGATGTTCTGCGGTTTGTGGCTGCAGGTTACAGGCGCGGCGGCCAGTTTGAGGCCCCGCCTCTTCCTCATGGTGCTGGTCATCTGAGAGTCCAACCTCCACACGAACACACAACTACACACAAAAATAATACAACAACAACAAATCACTGGAATCATATTTCATCAAATATAATCATTAATTATATATCATTTATTAACTGCTACAATGTGGCCTTTATGTCGTCCATTAAGTCTGCTACGAGATGGACACCCTGCAGCCTATCAGAATCTAGTTCTCAGTTATTAGTTACAGTTACTATTTACAATTTCAGTAATCAGTATTTTAGTGTACCTGTCTCCTGACACAGTGATGAGGTGTCTGCAGTCCTGACTGAACCTCATACAGGTGACGATCTCTGTTGAAACAAACAATCCCTCGGGTTATAACTTCAATGCAGTTGAGACTCTTTTCAACCACAAACTGATAATGAAACAAACGTTATTGGATTTACTCACCAGAGTGTCCGAACAGGGTGGCGACACACTCTCCTGACTCGTAGTCGAAGATGGTGATGTTTTTGTCGGAGCAGCTGGTGGCGAAGAACGACCCCGACGGATCCACGTGAACCTGCAGACAACGGCAAAATACCAGCCAATCACGTCACAGAACACCTGCACATTACACCTACCCACACACACACACACACACCAATAACAGCTCATAGCTCACAGTGGATATAAAGTACATGAAGGGAATCAGCTGACATTAAAACAAAGTCACATGGGGATCCTCTGTGGCAGAATGAAACAATAATAGTGTTCTTACCTTCAGCAGAGCTCCTTCATCACTGGACGAGCCTTTCAAACACTTCTTCAGCTTCCCAGTTTCCACGTTGTAGACCCTGAAACACACACACACACACACACACACACACACACACACACTCAGTCCTCAGCTGATCTGAACTTTTCTCTGTTCTCCGTGGAGCTCTTTACAAGTTCTAACCTGACGTTTCGGTCCTGACAGGCGATGGCGACGTGCGTCCTCGATGAGTCCAGGTCCATGTCATACAGCGTTGTCTTTTCCACCACGTGGTGACTCCTGGAGAACGACAAACCCTCCGCCGTCTGGAACATTATAGGGGATTATGGGACAGCATGAGCTCACACAGCCAGTCGAGGTTTTAATGAACAACAGACCTCCACAGATGTTTCTGTCTGGATTTGTGTGTTCACACCGACCTGTTCAGCTGTCTGGAAGTAGATGCTTTTGTCGGCTCCACAGCTCACCATCCGAACCTCTGGACTCTCACCTGGAACACAGGTAAACTGTCAGACCAACGGTTGTTCTCACTATTGAGGTTGTGAGGTTTTAACGTGGACTCTTGGCAATCAGGAACAAAGTAGCCCTTTCCACTCTCTCTCAGGTTACCTGTGAACTTGACAGCAGTGATGGAGGCTGAGTGGTCGTTCAGCGTCTGTTCCAGACTGTAGTTCTTCTCCAGGTTGAAGATGTGGATTAATCGATCTCTGCTGGCCGACGCCAACAGCTTTACACCTGAAACAACAGAGTCGTTACTCAGGTGTCACAACCGTACAGAAACTGACTGACTGACATCCACCTTCATTCACAGCGTGGTACTGTCAGTAAGTCTCTCATACTGAAGTATGCTAGGACGTACTTCTATTTTTACTCAAGTATTTCTGGTAGTTTCTGGTAGTAAATTAAGTATTTCAGGTAGTATAATTACCTGTGGATGTTGGGGAGAACACCAGACACAACACCTCCGAGTCATGAGCTTCAATCTTTGCCAGCTCGTCCAGAAACTCCAGACCGAAGATACTGAACACACAGAAACACGTCGTTATACATCTGTTGATACTCCACAGGATCCAGGTCTGATCCGGCTCGGACTCTGTGTCTCTTACCGCAGGTTTCCACAGCGGTCTCCGGCTGCCAGGTGTTGTCCATCAGGACTGATACCCAGCACTCTGATCCCAGCCTTCCCATCAGCCCCTGCTGCCTCCCCCCTCTCTCCCTCCGCCTGCAGGTGCTGCGTGTTCTCCCCCACATACAAAATCCTCAGCAGGTCCTGAAAGACAGACAGGTAGTGATTCAAAACAAATGAAAGAGACTTCTTCTGTGGTTCAGTCCTGGGATACTGTGTACTTGTACTCGTCTTACGTTGCTGTAGAGGTTTCTGTGTCCGGTGGGGGGGTCAGTGTGCCACAGTCTGATGGTGTTATCAGACGAACAGGTGAAGAAGGACGACAGAGGGAGACAGGCCTGAGACGCATCTGACAGCTCCGGATACACCTGAAACACAATTGTGTTAATATCTGAAGTATTTGTGGTAATATCTGAAGTATTTGTGGTAATATCTGAAGTATTTGTGGTAATATGTGAAGTATTTGTGGTAATATGTGAAGTATTTGTGGTAATATGTGAAGTATTTGTGGTAATATCTGAAGTATTTGTGGTAATATCTGAAGTATTTGTGGTAATATGTGAAGTATTTGTGGTAATATCTGAAGTATTTGTGGTAATATCTGAAGTATTTGTGTTAATATCTGAAGTATTTGTGGTAATATCTGAAGTATTTGTGGTAATATCTGAAGTATTTGTGGTAATATCTGAAGTATTTGTGTTAATATCTGAAGTATTTGTGGTAATATGTGAAGTATTTGTGGTAATATCTGAAGTATTTGTGGTAATATCTGAAGTATTTGTGGTAATATCTGAAGTATTTGTGGTAATATCTGAAGTATTTGTGGACTTACTTCAACGCTCCACACGGAGCTGCTGTGGTACAGGGCAGAGTAGAGCTTCCCGGCGTTCCTCACATCTTTAACATCCCACACGTAAACACTATGGTCGTTGTACACGCAGGTCAGCTGTTTGGAGGCGGGGTCAAAGGTCAGAGCCAGCGTGTCGGGGTACTGAGCACCCGGACTGGCAGGTAGCAGGCTGCTGCGGACACAGACACACAGTGAGTGATCAGAGGATTTACCACGGCGCTACGCTCCGCAGTGTTTGCTGTGTTCGTACCCGTGCTGCGCGCTCTGGGTGAGGTCGACTCCCAGCCGGTGCGGGCGGTGCAGAGTGGTGATGTACTGCAGGTTGGATGGACTGAACACTCTGATTACACCGTCGGCACAACCACAGAAGATGAAGTGCTCGCTGACCGCCAGACAGCTCGCCGATGACGTCTGTCAACAACAACAACAACAACATCAACATTTAATCTGTTCATTTTAGATTAGCATCTTAAATAACAACAAGCTCTTATTTTGAAAAACAAAACGGCGACATCAGAGTTTAAACGACAATCATCCCCGTACAGGTACAGGCGTACCTTTAACCCCGTACAGGTACAGGCGTACCTTTAACCCCGTACAGGTACGGGTGTACCTTCCTGTGTCACTAACCTTGAGGTTGACCCAGGCCTCCAGCTGTCGGCTGCTGTTGAACAGACACAGCAGACCGGAGCTGGTGATGCAGTAGGTGCTGCACGCCATGAGGCCACGCCCACACGCCACCCCGCTGAACATGCTGTTCTTATGGTCGCCTAGCAACCCCGACCGACCAATCAGAGGCACCGTGCTGTTCACCTGGATACGGGGAGAAAATAAAAGCCCACCGTGAGCCGAGCTGCGATTGGCCGAGCAGACTGTAAACGAGCGCAGGCCGAGCTGCGATTGGCTGCGTACCCGTCGTTCTTTAGAGGCGTCCAGGTACCAGAACTTGATGTGTCGGTTTCCCGCGGTGACGAAGTAGCTGTTGTCCTGAGAGAAGGAGACGGCGAACACTCGGCTGGACACTTTGTTGGAGGCGATGATCGAACCTTTCTGCTCACACACACACACACACACACACACACAGACAGACACACACACAGACACACACAGACACACACAGACACACACGATCAATACCGATCGATAATATCAGGGGATCAACGTACACCTGGAGATTGTGTGTCAGTATTTACAGCTCACCCTCCAGTCCCACACGCTGACGGTCATGTCGTGTTGGTATCCCACGGAGACGATGTAGCAGCTGTTGGTGGAGAACGCCACACAGGAAACTCCATATTTATGAGACTGAACCTCGGCCACCTGACCGCCGTCCACCTCCCACACCCGCACACAGGGCATGTGACCGCTCTGAAACACACATACACACACACACACACACATTAAGTATCTCTGCTAGTAGATTAAGTATTTCTGATAGTAGATTAAGTATTTCTGATAGTAGATTAAGTATTTCTGATAGTAGATTAAGTATTTCTGTAGTAAATTAAGTATTTCTGATAGTAGATTAAGTATCTCTGATAGTAGATTAAGTATTTCTGATAGTAGATTAAGTATTTCTGATAGTAGATTAAGTATTTCTGATAGTAGATTAAGTATTTCTCAGCTCTTACCTCACCAGTGACCAGGTGTTTTCCATCATGGGAGAAGGCCAGAGCACTGAAGGGTTTCCTGAAACAAACACACAGCGCAGTTAGAAGCCAGTCTTCTGGAGCAGAATGTGGTTTGGATCTTGTTGTGGGTGTTAAAGTTGTAACTTGCTCTTCATCCGGGGGCTCAACCCTCGTTAGAAGGTGTGAAAAGGTTAATGGGGAATGTATTCAACCAGTTTCAGATGGAATGTAAGGTGAGGCAGATCTACCTGGACGTGTTGATGATGTGACTCTGCTTGTTCTTCTTTGGGTGGAGCAGCACGATGACACACCTGAAACACAAACACAGTCGGGTTCAAATAAAAATCACAGCACGGTTCGACTTGATGACACAGCGGAGACTGACGCAGAAGAGCATGCTGGGAAACTATCAGGAGCAGCCGCCCTTTCAGTACAGGTGAGCCGGAGGAGGCGGGGCTTACCCTGCAGGATAGGCGATGAGGCCAGAGTTGGGGTCGGAGGTCAAACCGCTGCCGCTGACTGTGCCGATGCCCAGAACTTTCTCCAGACTCACCTGAAACAACACACACACCAAACTGCACTCAAAAATCCTGACAATTTAACAAACTGTGTTCCAGATTGTTATTGTTTCCCCCTCTAACAGTTCCTGTTATATTACAACGGCTAGTATTTTAAGTATTAATTAGTATATTTCCTGTTAATGTCTCCGCTGCTACTTCATTTAACCCTTAATTAGATACCTCAGCTCTTTAGAGACATATATTATCATGTGTGCTTTAATCTCCCCTCTAGAACTGCAGTGAGTAGTTTCATTAGTCGACAGAAAATTAATCAGCAACTGTTGATTGATTTATTATTAAAAAAGTAAATATTTTCTGGTTCCAGGTTCTCAAACGAGGATCTGCTGCTGTTTTTACTGTTTTATACGACCTTAAACTGAACATCTTCAAACTGTCGGTGGACGAAACAATAACATCTTTCTTATTTAAAACCTGAACAAATTCAATTTAAAATACATCTTTGTTGTTTTCGTTTCAGCTGCACTTTTTTATTTTATAGATTTTTATAAACTCTTCATATGTTTTGGTCACTTATCTGGTCACTATAAATGCAGTACACAGGTCAGTCCAACACTGCACTGATCAATACTTTAACCTTCATTTACATTATTAGTTTATGTATTTTAGATATGTGGTAAAGTTTGCTGTTTGCATACATTGTTAGATTTATGAAGCCTGTTGATGTTTAATAAAGATAAAACACACTGATAGTGTCCCAGTAAACCCCTGTCTGTCTGTTATTTAAAGACAGACAGACAGACAGACAGAGAGACAGACAGACAGAGAGAACAGACAGACAGACAGACAGACAGACAGACAGACAGACAGACAGACAGAGAGAGACAGACAGACAGAGAGAGAGACAGAGAGAGAGACAGAGACAGACAGACAGAGACAGACAGACAGACAGACAGACAGACAGACGGTGGCCTGCCGCTCCTCTGGTTGTTTAAACATTAGCTTGTTGCTGTGGTTTTTAGCTCATAAACGTCGCAGTTATTTAACTAAAGTAACTTATATTTTATTAAAAGCTCCAAACATGAACAAACATTAAGGTTTAATATCTCCTGAGTGTCTCCACCTGTCCGCCGCCCCCCTCACAGCTCGTCTTTAAACGTGTTGACAACTTTTGTTTAAACTTTTTAGAAGTAACGGGACGGAGATGCTAACGGGGGAGCTAGCTCTGTTAGCCGACCGTACCCGGCTGCTGGAGCTCTTCTGTCGGCTCTGTCGGCTCTTCCTCCCCGCTGGCTGCCTCCTCTTCGCGGCAGTGACCGACCCGCAATCCGCTCCCTCCGCCATGACTCTCTTTAACTTTAATAATCGTATAAACAGGGCGGGGCTGGTCCATAAAAGCCCTGCCGCTGAGCACCGGGAGCGGCTCTGTTTACTCTCCGCTAATGATAGTGACGGAGGGTTAGCTTAGCTTCATGCTAACTGTCGCTAAAGGAAACCTGACACTTCTCTCTGCGGCGGGACTCCGGTTCAAACTGAGCCCCGCCCACGACACCAGCAACCAACCAATGGGCGGCAGAGGTCCCGCCCTCGTCCCGCCAAGCAGCCAATAGACAGCCGAGATTCCGCCAGTTGTCCGCTAAGCAACCAATCAGCATCCAGATTACTTTAGAGCCCCTCAGGTGTTTAGGATCAGCTTGATCGGCCAAATAAACACACAGGTAACTGTTTTTATTTAATGTTATTTGTTGTATTTTAAAAAAATATTAATTGCATTATATTCAGTATACAATAGTGTAAATTTAGCTAGTTACTGAATGTCTATTTTTTAATAAAGTAAAAACAACAAATTAGAATATTTTATTATATATAGTGTAAATGTTTTATTATTCTATTTTCTTTACTTCAACTTGCATTTCTTATCTTAAGTTTCTTCTGGAATTAGAAGATACCTTGAAACAAAAATGAACAGTAGTGTAATTATGTGTGTGTCTTTAAGACCTCTGTTGTTGGTATTAAACCCGATCTAAAAACATCACTGAGCACCAGACACACAACTGAGAGAAAATCAGTTTTATTACAAAATATTTCAGCAAGTTCACTCAGAAAACTAAAGCTTCTTCTTTTTCTGTTCAATTTTTAAAATATTCATTTTTTTTTTTACAGACCATAAAGTATTTGAAAAGTATGTGAGGAGTTAAAACCAAACCGACGTTAGCTTCCAGCTGTGTTGGTCTCAGTGGAGACAGCGACAGATGCTAACAGACACCTGAAGAAGAGAACGGGATTGTGTATTTTGGGAGCTTTGGTCATATAAAACTCTCACAGAACTGTGATTATTATCATTATTCAGTTATACTGTAGCAGAGAAATCAAAGTGCAGAGAAACTTAATGAGAGCTTGCATGATCCCACTGTACAACCGAAAGGGAAAGAGTTACAGAGGAAAAGTGTGATTCCCAAAAGTACTAACAACCATCATATCACAAAAAACTCAAAATCTAAAATATTCACAACAAAAAAATCAATCTTTAAATGATCTCACAAGAACAAAACCTCAAGAAAAACAAAGACAAAATATGTATCCTGCATAATCTTTCCAGAACAATACTCTTCGACCAAAACAAATCAACTGAAAAAGTTCAAAATGTTTCAGCATCAACAGATTAGTGCAATCAGTGTTACAACAAGACACAAAGTCGACTTCAAACCACAGAGTTTAACTGCTAGTCCTCGCTCAACAATAAACAGAGACGGTCTGCTGGTAAAGATTAATACGTCATGTTGTTCTCTGTCTTTAATAACACGTGGAGTCCCTCAGGGAAGCGTCCTGGTGCCTCTGTTGTTTGTATTAAACCTAATGTAGATTTTAAAGAACAGTAAAGCATCTGTTAAATCATGTCTGGTAAAAACGTTGTGTCCCTCAGGATATAATAGTCCCTTCTATTGTTTGTGTCCCACCTAATGTAGATTTAAAAGGACATGTTCAGTATTTAGGAATCCCTCTTGTTCTCTGTCCAGTGATAGGTCCAGGCCAGGAATTAAGCGGTTCCATCACATTTTCTGTAAGTGTTTACAAACTCAACCCAACCTCATAAACTCTGAATAACTGTCTCAGACCTGTTTCTCTGTTCTCCTTGTAATTAGTAGCAGATTATACTGAGCGTTCACTATTTTATTTTCCAAAAATTAAAGGCTAAATGTTGTCTCAACGCTTCTCCACACTGGCAAGAAGTCCTTTAATGCGTTAAAGTTTGTCACAAATATGAATATTTTGAGTTTAAAAACACTGGAATCAGCTAAAAAAATACAAAAAATAAAATCTGTCAAAGTCCCTGAAAGAAAAAATAATGAGGCAATGACCTCATGGGAAGCTACAGCCCTGGGTCCATGGTTAGCTTAGCTTAGCACAAAGACTGGGAAGAGTTTGAAACTGCTAGCCTAGCTTAGCACCAAGTAAAAATGTGTGCGACAGCGTGTTTCCTGTGTCTGCTGCCTCCTGGTGGATCCTGTTAGTCTGCTGTATGGAGGGTGATAAGTGTGTAATTTTTCACACATGCCTCACATCAATGCAACTGTTCTTTGCTAATCTAACAACCGCTCCAGCTTCACTTTTTAATTGTCTTCTACAGTAATAAACTGACTATTTTTGGTTTTTGATTGTTGGTCAGACAAACCTTTGAAGACGTCACTTCAGACTTTTTCTGACATATTTTAGACCAAACTATTTTATCAGTTATTTGAAAATACTTGCAGTCCTAGCACTGATAACAGAACAAATAGTAATTTATTGAATTGAGTTCTATTCATTAATTATTCATTTGTAATTGGATATTTTATTCCACACATATTTTGAATTGTATACGTTTGTTTGTAGACAAATTCCACTTTTCTGCATCTGATCTTTGATGGATTAAAACACTCGACAGTCTCCAAAGGCTTGTTAGATAAACTGAAAGGGAGTTCTTAAAGCTCAAAGAAAAATAGGAATAAATTGAGATAAATATTTTTCTGATTATTGCTTTTTCGCCAATGAATTGACCGTTCTTAAGCCCCGCCCATACTGGAAAATATTCTCTTCCTCCTTTTGCTGGAGACAACTTACAACCCACTCAAGGACCACTGAGCTAACTAACGATTAATGTAGATTAGCCAGCTAGTTAGCATTTGTGATACAGATATACATACATATACACATATATATATATGTCTGTATATAGATATAGCTGTAGGAGATTGAACAAGAATGTGGAAATGGGATTTCTATTGAGGTGACTTTCATACAATCAACATGGAGGTATATACAAAATGTGGTTCTCTTTTAAACATAGAATAGCTTAGCATATAGCATATCTAAGTACAGAGAAGGAGGAACCGAGGCTTGCTCAACTGTTATTGGAGCAGACAACACAAAGGGGCGGGGCTTAGGAAGGATCAAGTCATACATCTCATTTTAAATGCTGAAATATAATCCTGAAACAGTTGAGGTTTGAAGTGAAAATGTAAAGTACAATAGAGTCAAAAAATATTATATATATATATATTTGTTGTTACTAGAATTTGTAAAGACACTGATCTGGTTCTTTATCCAGTTATCAAGAGTTTTTAATCTGAAAACTGAGCAGCGTTCGGCTCTACCAGACATTCGACTGTCGACATGTTCCAGCTGCTGGATGCTAACCTGAGCGTCTGCAGGTAAAGGTGTGAATGACAGGTGTAGCCCCGATCACCTGAGGCTGGGGGCGGGGCTCAGTGTGCGTGGTTGGGCGGAGGTCAGAGGTCATTATCCTGCTGATAATCTGATCTGAAGGCATATGATTGGCTGCTGGTCTGAAAACAGAGTTAATTACTAGTTTGGGTTGTGTTACACAGATATCGGTGCGTAAACATTAAACTGAGGCTGAGAGAAGCGCACACTCAGAGGTTCGCTAATTTTAATCGATTTTAACCTCATCTAGTTATTTTTACAGTGTAAACTCACTGCAGACTGTAAACAAAGTAGAGGCTGTCTCACAGTCTGAGTGTCTCAGGAAGTTAAAGGCGATGTGGTGACTTAATGAAGGCCAGAGTGGACCCTCCTCACCCGTTTACGCTCCCTTACAGTTTCAGGATCCCTTACTGGATCCCGTTTTTTTTTTTTTTTTTAAACCGACCTTCTTCACAGCGAGCAGGACCAGAGTTAGGAGCTGGCGAAGGCACAGAAGATTCTCGGTTGATGAGGTTAAAGTTCGTGATTCAGAGATGTGATCCGCCTCCCGTAGAGTCGGTCTGTACATTCAGTGTTTTTATTCAAACAGCAGCTCTGCAGTCTGATAAGGTCACTTCTTACATTCTTCATACGGATCGCACATCTTATTTGCACGAGAAAAATAGAATTAACAAAATAAAAACATTTTCTGTCTCTGTAGAAGGTCCCTTCAGGAGGATTTGTTTGCAGGTTATTGCTTTGGAGGCACTCGACCCTGCGAAGAAGAAGAAGAAGAAGAGGAGGAAGGTTTTAGTCATCAGAAGTTTTCTGTGAGTTTATAGAGACGGAGAGTTTAAGAGGTTAGTGAGGAATTCTGGTTTGGTAAAACTGGGAGCAGAAGAAACAAAAATACTTGTTGACGATGTTTGTCTTGTCGAGAAATGAGCATAAAACTACGACTACAACCAAATCTACTGCAGTGAAACTGGAATCAGCAGAATGATTTAAAAGTGGTGTTGATACAGTCAATAACAAAACATGTTGACAACCTTTTTGATCCCAAAAACTAAACTTTGAAAACAAGCTTTGGTCCGTACAAGCAGCAACACTGAAGTAACAAAACCTGCAGTTCCTCTGCTGTCCACTAGAGGCTGGCTCCAGTAGTGAGTCTCCATAAGGCCCAATATTAAAATGGCCAATTTTACAGCAGAAATAAACATGTTTCCAGCCTTTTGGTCCCTGTTAATGACAACTGTACAACTTTCCCCTTTAAATTATATTGACTGTTATATATATATACACTAATGTGTATATATATATATATACAGACTGTAGGACTGGGAAGGCCTCTCCTACCCGGCTCCACTGAGAGCGAACAAACTAGGGAGAGAGCACTGTTACAGAGAATGAAGCAGAGAAACAGAGAAAGACTTTCTGATTCAAGGTTCAATTTAACTCTTTAAGACCTTAATTAATTAAATTTAACACATATTTTACCTCAAAGTGGCAAAAATAAAACAAAGGATATGAAAGAGAATCAGCACTGGTTCCGTTTGTACAGAATGATTAATACCGTAAAACTTCCAATAAAAGCAGGGTCCCTAATAAACGCAGGTCTCCAATAAAAGCCTGGTCTGGATTTTATAGAAATGATCCGAATGTATAAAAAATCTTAAAACCCACCTGGTCGCCCCCCTAGAGCGAGTTTTAAGCCGGTTAGATCGCCTACACAAATATAAACGTAAAAACTTTTGTCAAAATGGGACAGGCCTCTATTTGGGACAGGTGTTTTAATTTCTTTAGCACAAATCTCAGATGGAAAACGTCGAACTGTACTGCTTCTCTTGAGTTTTGTTAAGTAAATTTGACAACTTACAGTAAATTTCTGAATGTATTAACGTTCATAGTTTCCATAAAATAAGGTGACGGATTTGAACTGTGGAGAATCTAACTGATCTAACGATGTGCAGCATCCCAATAAAGGCCTGGGGGAGCTCAGTGATTTTAGCAAATAAACGCCCGAGGCTTTTATTAGAAGTTTTACGGTACTCATTTCCCCCCAAAACAGATTAAAAACTTATTGTAAAATTAGCTTAATTAATCCAGTCAGGGGTTTACCTGGGTGCAGGTCAGGGGTCGGCGTGCTCAGGACCGGAAGACGTGGACGGCTCGGACGACGTACTGGCGGCAGATGGGACACTCGCTCATCCTCTTGCCGCACTTGGTGCAGGTGATCATGTGACCGCACTCCAGCAGGACGCAGTCGATGGGAGAGTCCATACAGATCTTACAGAGGTTCTCCTCTGGACCCGCAGGACCGCGTCCGCCGCCGGACTCTACAGGGACACATTAGGTTGACATTAACTTATTATTAATTAGTTTCTGATAATATGAGGATCTGTTAGAGAACTCACCTGAAGCGTTCACAGCGTTGGCGGCTGAAAGACAAACAGACAGATATTAAACTAACACGTTGTTCTGTTGGACCTTTAATGATCAGCAGAATATTGTAATTTCACTAGTATTTGGTTGACAGAAGTTCTGATCGATCAGATGATGTTGAATATTGATCAGCTGTTAGTCAAACATCAAACTGGAGCTGCAACTTTTTACCAGCAGCAAAGAGAAATACAATAAATACCCGGTTCTGACCCTGTATGGTCCTGGTTCTGACCCTGTATGGTCCTGGTTCTGATGGTTCTGATCCTGTATGGTCCTGGTTCTGATGGTTCTGACCATGTATGGTCCTGGTTCTGACCCTGTATGGTCCTGGTACTGATGTTTCTGACCCTATATGGTCCTGGTTCTGATGGTTCTGGTTATGACTCTGTATGATCCATGTTCTGATGGTTCTGACTCAGTATGGTCCTGGTTCTGATGCTTCTGGTTATGACTATGTGTGATCCTGGTTCTGATGGTTCTGGTTCTGACTCTGTATGGTTCAGGTTCTGACCCTGTATAATTCTGGTTCTGACCAAGTATGGTCCTGGTTCTGAACCTGTATAATTCTGGTTCAGACCAAGTATGGACCTGGTTCTTACCTTGTATGGTCCTGGTTCTTACCCTGTATGGTCCTGGTTCTGATGATTCTGACTCTGTATAGTCCTGGTTCTGACCCTGTATGGTCCCGGTGCTGACCCTGTATGGTCCTGGTTCTGACCCTGTATGGTCCTGGTTCTGACTCTGTATGGTCCTGGTTCTGATGGTTCTGGTTCTGACTCAGTATGGTCCTAGTTCTGACTCAGTATGGTCCTGGTTCTGACCCTGTATGGTCCTGGTTCTGACTCAGTATGGTCCTGGTTCTGATGGTTCTGGTTCTGACCCTGTATGATCCTGGTACTCACCCAGGAGGTTCTGCTGGTCCTGGTACAGCCGGCTCACTCTCTCCATCAGCTCCCATTTCTCACAGCAGCCTTTGTAGTTGACGAAGTTCCTGGCGAGGATTTCCTTCAGCTGCCGGACGCTGAGCGCCTCGATGTCGTCCAGGCAGCTCAGGTCGGACAGAGACGCCCTGCGACCCGAAACCGGCGCCTCCTCCGGGTCCCAGTTCTGAACCGGACAGACAAAAAGAGAATCAGAATCCAGACTCAAACACGAGACCCTGGTGGTCCCACAGGACCCTGTTCTGGCGTTACCTGGTCTTCGTCCTGAACGTCGGGCTCTGTGGGGGCGGTCTCTGTCGGCGGGGGCGGGGCTTCGGGTTCTGCAGCGGGGGGCTCGGGGGTCAGCGTCGGGGGAGGGGGGTCAGGAGTCAAGGTGGAGATGGGAGGGGTCAGATCCGGAGGGTCAGGGGTCACAGAGGGGAGCTCGGCGATCGGGGTCTCGGGGGCGGAGTCGCTGGATGGTGAAGGCTGTTGACCAAGGACCAGCTCCACCAGCTCCTCCTGAAGGACAGGAAACACTGGTTTAACTGGGGAGGGGTCAGGGGTCAAAGGTCAGAGGTCAGCGTGTGTGTGTGTGTGTGTGTGTGTGTGAAGGACCTTCTCTCGGCACAGGTGGGTGGAGACCTCGTGCAGGTGCAGGTAGTCCCGCAGCTCCTTCACCTTCAGCTTCATAAGCTCCGCCCGCTGCAGCAGGTTGCCGTAGAAACGCTGACAGGTGTGACAGAGGCGGGGGCGGGGCTCCAGCTGGGCGGAGCAACGGCTGCAGTAGTTCTTCTTACAGTCCACGCACACGTGCTGACAGACAGACAGGTAGAGAGAGAGACAGTCAACATCCTGTCCAGCTCACGCCGACGATTCAACGAGTATTTATAAATATAATGAATATAGATTAAAAGCAGGAACCACGAGCATGTGACAAAATAAAAAACACAGAAGTCGTTCAGATCATTTGTTTGCAGTCACGTGACGCTCAGATGGACGCAGGAAGTGAAAAGCAGAACGGATGTTTAAAGCCACCAGACTCCATTCATAAAAACACTAATTTTACCTCATAGAACACAAAGTAACCAAGTGATGGAGGCAGCAACCTGTGTTCTGTGAGGTAAAATTAGTGTTTTTATGAATGGAGTCTGGTGGAAAGGGCTGTCCGACGGCGAGGTAAAGTGGTGAAAATATTCTAATATTATATTATAATACACAGGCTACAGTACTTCCTTGTGTTTTTCCCTCTTTCGATTCGATATATTGTGATATATGATTAGAAATTACATATCTTTTGAATTTAAATCTAATTTTAGTATAAAGAACACACCACCATATACATTAAAAACTCTGCGTGGTTTCTCTGTTTCATTGATTTGAGAAACCGTAAACAAAGCGTTTGAAAGTTTGCGATGGTGCTTCCGATGTATATGAAAGGTATAGGAGTTAAACCCGAACCGACGTTAATGGAGACAGCGACAGATGCCAACAGACACCTGAAGAAGAGAACGGATTGTGTATTTTGGGAGCTTTGGTCAAACTGGGCGGGCGGGGGGTTACCTTCTTGGCCGGCGTGTCGAAGCACCCCCCGCAGGCCTTACAGGTGTGTTCAGGGGGAGGCGGAGACGGCTGACTGCTGAAGGCGGAGTTAGTGTAGGACCGATGATGTCGCTCATCTCCACCCGAGGGTTCGACGTCAACAGAGTCCACGCACAGCCAGTTACAGCAGGACGCAAACATGCCTGAAAACACACAGAGAGAGGTTTTCAGCAACAGCAACAGTGTAGTAGCAGTAAATGTAGTGTTATATTAATAAATGACCAGGGTACAATGTGCAATGAGGGGAAGAATATTATGGTATCTCCTTATATTAAAGCGTATGTGTGATTTAAATAAATAAAGTTTTGTACTAAAGGTTTGCCGAATGGACCTTTGTGTCTTTAGGAGTCATAAAATATCTTCAGTCTCATTTAGGAGTGGCAGCTGTTTACTGGTGAACCAGGATTCGGTACATTTAGCAGAAATGTTAAACACGATTCAGGATTTTACCAGAAAATATTGTATTTAATAAAAAGTATTTTTACACTGTAACACTGTCACTAAAATGTTTAAATACTTTAGCCTCCACTTTTTGGATGCAGATGACTGTAGACCAAACTAACATGTTTGTGTTAGTCTTTAAACTTTAAAGTAAATAGTTTATGTTGAATGTCAGCCGAATGGAGAAGTGTCTCCTGCTGATGAGTAAAAAGAGTTAAACTGAGTTTTAGGTTGAGCGGCTGTTGAGCAGTGAGCCAGGATCCGTTCAATCTAACAACGTTGTAATGGAGGTTTTCTATTATTTACTATTATCTACAGATATTTGAACACATTTTACTCAACAGAACTTTAACTTTGAAGTATATTTACACTATGACATTGTTAGCACCACTACAAACATGTTTTTTCCACTTCTTTTATTTGTACCTGAACGACTGTGGGCCAAACTACATAGTGAAAACCAGCGTTTTTATGTTTCTTTGTGGCTGTCAGACTTTCATAATGTACATTACATAGTAAAGCGGACTTGTGCATTGTAAGAAGATCTTATAATAATTTCGGGGCAATGTTTTCCCTTATTTAATAAATAATCAGGCATCAAATTCCGTGGTAGGCTTTAGGCAGATCAGCGTATGAGACGCAAGTAACCAAAGTTTACATTTGATTAAAATAAGCAGATTTATTCTATATTTTGTGTCAGATTGAAGCCGAATGAGAAATTATCTCTTGATAATACGTAAAAAAAGTATAAGGTGTGTTTTAAGAGGATTATCGTTTTACTCAAGAGCCAGTCTCCCTTAAATCCGCCAATATGTAAACGGAGTCTGGCGTGTGGAGTCTGGAAAGTACCCAGAGCTGCTAGCAGGCTAAAAGGCTAGGCTAACATTAGGCTAGTTAGTGAAGTTTAAATAAAGTAAATAGTGAAACAAACACAAACCAACAGAGGAGACAGCGGCGGCAGCAGTTAACCCGGGTTAAACCAACCCGGTTAACAGTTTAACTAACAACCGACCAGCGGGATTAAAAGCACAATGAACCCGTCTTACCTGTTAATGACAGCTAGCAGCTAGCAGCTAGCTCAGTAACCGACGGGTCGCTGCTGGTTAACAGACAGTAACCGGTCAGTTACAGTTCGGTCCTCTGCACCATGACTCAGCAGGTTGTTCCCAACGGAAATACAACGATCCGACAACAACAACAACAACAACAACAACAAGACAACAACAACGACAACGACAACTACAGCAACTACTGAACCAGGAAGAGTTCAACTACACACACACACACACACACACACACACACACACACACACACACACACACACACACACACACACACACACACACACACACACACACACACACACACAGCTGGCTCCACAAACAGACTTTTGATGTTTGAATTTGATTTAGAACAATTTTAACTTTTTTTTTTTAAATATACTTTTACTTTATAGTAAATTAAATTATTAAAATGATTAAAATTATTAATTGTGTAAATTATGTTTAATTAACTGCTTTTAACTTTAAAAAAGATATATAAGATCATTTTCTGCTCTCCTAAGACATCTACATATAAATACTGGGAATCACCTCTCAGTTAGCTTCAGATAAATACTATATATATATATAAACCACTATAGGACTGAGGGATTCGGTACCAAGGACGCTGATAAGGTTTTAGACTTTATTAGACAACCAGATTTATATTTTATAAAGTTTAACCGGTCAGAATTCAGATATGAGATTGAGAAATCAAAGTCCCACTTTAATGTTGATGTCATTGCTGAAAAATTATATTGGGCTAGTTATTAAGGATACGATTTGTTTTGATAAAGGGAAGGTTTGTGAGCTTTTTTGATTATTTCTACACAACCAACTGCTGCAAGTGTGGTTATTAAATGACCCTGTGGTTCAGGGAGATACGGGTTGTCATTTGTTAATTATTATTACAAAGACGACAAAATGTGTAATTTGAAATAAGTCCTGTCTCATCGGAAAAAAGGTTAAGGGTTTGTCGAGTTGTCCTTTGACACAGTAAATCATCTTATGCTGTCGTCAAAGCTGCAGTGCATGAGTTTTAAACATGTGTGGTGTTGACAATATTACATGTGGAGTTCCCCAAGGTTCCATTTTGGGGCCTCTTTTATTTCTCATGTAAATGAATGACATGTAAGCTCTTGTTGTATGCTGATGATTCTGCGTTACTGGTATCTGGAAACGATGTCAGTGAGATTGACAACAGTCCTAGTTATGAATTAGAAAGCATGAGAGAGTGGTTCTTAGATAATGAGCCTTTAATATGTTTGGGTAAAACTGGGTCAATCCGGTTTGGAACAAAGAAGAAGCTGTCAAGAACAAATTAGCTAAAGTGTCTTGTCTCATATTATATTATTATTTGGGTTATGCATGTCCTGCTTGGTATCGTGGCTTGACAACTAAACTTAGGAACCAACTGCAGGTGATGCACAATAATAGTGACTGCTGCCAGTACAGCTCAGAGTAGAACAACAGAAGCTGAACCATATGTACAATATTATCAATGGGTATGCTCCTCAATACTTATAAAGTATGGTGGGTTAACCGTATGGTTATGCATGTACATATTTATATGTATATATGCATATATATACAGACCCATATGTATTTATAAGATAAGATAAGACACTCGGGAAATTCACTTGTTACAGCAGCTCTAGATGTCACACAGCAGATAAGAAAAGAGGAAATACACATTAAATAACAAAGCAGCACTGTTCCTTATGGCGTTGTGATCGTTGCTTTCACCAGTCAAACACCACCTGGAGCAGGTCATACTGTCAATGTCAATGCTGTGGGGACTGTAGAGTGTTTCCCAGTCTGTTGTCTCAAAGCAGTCGCTGAGCCTAGCACTGGTCTCCTCAGACCTTCACAGGCCTCTTCTCAGGTGGTTGTTTATTCACCTGGTTTTGAAGCCAGGAGACGACAGTGTGGATCTGATCTGTAGCTGCAGCAGCGAGGGCCGATAGATAGATAGATAGATAGATAGATAGATAGATAGATAGATAGATAGATAGATAGATAGATAGATAGATAGATCTAGTAGTGGCATACAAACATACATTAAACATACATTAAAATTAAAGTTAACCTATATCTATACAAACAGAAAACTATACAAAAAGTAAAAGTATAAATAAAATGTAAACTATGTGCAATTAAAATGAGCCTGTCAACCAATGAATGAAAGTCACAGCATTCAGCAGAGGTAGTGCAGATGGAGTCAGAAATAACAGTGAATGAAAGAATGTCCAGGAAAACAAATGGAGGTGGACATTGTCTATTATCTATTGTCCTCCCTGCACTGACCGAGAGCTGTTGTACAGTCTGATGGCCGGGGGGATGACAGAGTTTTTCAGTCTGTTTGTGGAGCTGGATGTACAGTTACAGCAATAACATGTGAAAACTCCCTCGGAAGAAAGTACGGCCGCATGCTACCCGCTAACAGCTCCAAGTCTCTGGTGCACAGTTGCTCTTGAACACTGATCCTCTTCTCCTTCGCCGTGTCTCCTCAGGGATCTCCGTCCGCTCCGTGCAGTGAAGGGTGTGTGGCACAGGGCTAACAGCTGATCCCGGGTGTAAACAATGGAGCCGTGGTTGAGTGAAAAACAACAAGAGGCAAAACTACGAATGTAACAATATGAACATCCATAGCTGCACACTTGCTTAAATAAAGTACACTGAAACCTACTTACTTACTTACCTACTTATAAAGATTACTGCAGCAGCAACATGTCCAACAGAGGGAGGGGAGGATGACGTAACACAAATAAAAGGACACATGTGATTTCCAGGAAGAGGAGGAACAGAGAGGGGAGAGCAGACAGAGAACAAGAAGGCCAGAGGCAGGGTGAGTGTTAATACAACATTATTATTGTTTTACTGTCAAACATTCATCTGTGGATACATTGGCTGAATGATACACATTAGCAGGTTGGGTTCTTTATACTTGTTTCCTCATTGTGGTGCTCTGAGCTCATTGTTGCTGGTTATCTCTCAGACTGACCAAAGATCAGTGATCGCTGACAGTGCTTTTATTTTATTGGATTTTATAGTCAATATTTACATTGTATTATTATTATTAATATTTTAGACATTTAATGAAGATTCTCTGTCAAATATAAAAACCTCCCTTTAGGCTGAGAATGGTTACACAGTGTTTTCTGCTTCCATCTTGTACTCTGAGATTCTCATTAACCACATATAACCACGCAGTAACCTCTGACTCCTTCTACAACTGGTTGTTTATGTGCAACTTGTTAACAATCAGTGAGGTACCTGCATTTAGTTTCTGGTGCTGCTTCATAATTGGATGTAACATTTTCCTTCTTGCATTAATCTCAGGAGGAAAATGATCATTCATTCCAAAGGATGTATTCCCTGTCGTTACTTTTAACTAAATATGTTCTCTTTAAAATGTTCTTGTAAAACTCTTTGAGAGATATCAAGATATATTTAACAACTTGCAGGACGAGGAGATCACACACATGGAAGCAAACTTGGAAGAAGGAGTGAAAGAGGAGGACAGAGCAGAGTCTCCAGGATCCAGTTCTCTGTCTATGAAGAGTGACCGGTCCAAAGGTGGACCTCCAGACTTCAGTAATGAACCTGGACCCTCAGACACACAGTAAGAGAACAACCACTGACTGCAGTTTATATAATTATATCATTACCATTTTATGATTATATTGGCCCGAATATAAGACAATGTTTTTATCTGGAAATGAAGTTTAAAAAGTGGAGTTGTGTTATACTTGAGGACTAGATCAGATCTAGTATCATTCAGACATTGTTTTATATTATTATCATTAATGATATATAATTCAACAGCAGGTGATCAAACCTTCACATACATCCGTGTTTTAACATCTGCCAGTTAAATGCTAACAGAATGAGTCTGAATGTGTCAGAACAACCAGCAAGGAGTCTGAATATTTAGTTCATTTATTTCAACACAGTGTAACATCACACAGTCTGGTTGTTCAACACACAAATAAATAACTTTGATTTCACTAAAACAAAAAGGGGCTGTTCTGTGGCTCATTCGGGCTGGGTACCCTGGCCAGGGATCAAAGGATCGAAGGATCCTGGCCAGGGAACGCCTTGTCCGGTCATTACCGGGGAAGGCGAGGCTAAGCTAATTTGACTGTAGACATGTGCGTAACTTGTGCGTAACTTGCTACAGTTATCGTTTGTTAACAAGCAGGTGCTGAATACCTGCTCAAAGATAAGCTACATATCTCTTCAATGTCTGATTCGGGGAAATGAGAAGTGAGGTAGGTATTCCCTCTGTCTCTCTGTGCAGGTTGAGGAACTGACTTTCTTCACAGGGACTCAGGGTCGCTTGGGGACCGGTCCCGTCTTGTGAGGGAAGAGGGAGTTAACCTCTCACTAAGGGAGGGGTTTGAACCAGAAAAGCCAGGTTCACATCTGCTGAATGACTGTGGAGGGGCAAGATGTCCTAATCTAAGCCCTAAAATTCCTCCTTGTTTGAACAGAGTTCTAGCGCTGTTGAATGCAGGTCTCCTAAATAGTGCATAGCTTTCTGAACTTCCTGGAGGAGACTAGCAGTTTGTACTTTAAGGCAATCTACTTCCTTCTCTGAGGCTACTTGGCTCTGAAAAGCAAGACTGGTTTGCCTGTGGAAGTTTAGAAGCAAACATCTCAGCAATGAACTTTTGGATGCGGTCTGAGCATTGCAACTGTCATTGAGTAGTGAGTCTATTTTATTCCTACACTCACTGGAATTCAAACTGCTGATGAATTCAGGGTAGCCAGGCTTTAGGCTCTGTGCTAGGGAAGAAATAAACTGCTCTACACTGGGGTTCTCCATTGTTCTCTGTGGAACGGAGGGGGAGATGAAACACGTTAGTGTGGTTACTGTGGTGTTGCGTGGCAGACACCTTGTAGTGTAGCCGGGGCAGTACACTTATCTAAACCAACACTGTGTTGGCCTAAACTGTGGGGGGTAGCTATCTACGGAGGAGTGGGTAGCAAGACACATCTAGTGTCTCTAGTGGGCACAACAAATATCACATGCACTAACTGATATGCAGGGCAGTTACAGTCAGGGGATTAAAGTTTACACGGGCTGGAACACGTGGTAGTAACAGCTAGGTAGGGAACTTTAATTTTTCACAGGGCTGGTAGCAGCTGTGGCTCTTCCTCAGGTTCTACTCTTACTGAGGCTGAAATGAAAGGCAGAATCAGTCAGGTACAAGCTCTGTTTATCACAGGGATGGCTGCACGCTGTGTCTTAAAGAGTGCGTTAGTTACAGCAATTTACGACTAGTTTGACTAGAATGCATTGAATCTGTCTAATTCAAATGCTGAACCAAACTCTTATTTTTCCTACAGGGTAGGTTTGACTCAGAATAACTAGCAGCAACAGCAAACTCTTAAGGTAACTCTATGAGGGCTTGAAATCAATATTCTCAAATTCTTTAATTTGACGAATAAATCAATTTCACCACAATGTACTTTGTAAGTACAATTGGATGTCTATTACGGTTGCAAACTAGTGGTATAGACTTTTTGGAAAATTTTAGACTGAAATCTAAAAAGTTTTATCGGCCAAAAATATATGCTGAAATATTAATATCGCACAATTATGAATCATAATCAACAGTACTACGCCTCACATGGGGAACCATTTTGTCAGGCTCCACGTTGTAGGGTGTTACAGTTGTTTAACTGCATTAGTTTAATCAGTTAATGGTTATCAAAATTTATAATTATCAAAAGATAATAGAAAAAGACTTTAATTAATATTAAAGATCCTCGGTCACCACCCTTAGGGAAACGATAGCCAATAATTGATTGATCAGTCTCATAAAATTACACTAAACTATTAATTCAGAAGTCAAATTAATAATTAACTGAATAACTACAACCAAAATTATTATTAATCGCTGAAGTGGGAGCTTTGGAGTTCTACATAGACGAGGCTGGTATCACTCACTCTTATACAAAATTAAATAGGCCAACATATATAAACACAGGCATTTATTAAAGAGATATAATAAAGGCAAACAGAGGAAAATACACTATATACAATCTAACTGAAAGGAACTAAGCTAGAGGAAAAGGTGTGTGTCTCTGTGTGTGTGTGTGTGTGTGTGTATGTGTGTGTGTGTGTGTGTGTGTGTGTGTGGTGCGCGGCACGCGTTGGGGGTTGCGTTGTGTCCTTTGTCCTCTGACCAGATGTTTCAGGGTATGAAACATGTGTTGGTGAGAGACAAAGAGCACGGAGAAGTGGGAAGGTTTGAATCCCTCTCCTCGTGTGTGTGCTAATGTTAAGGCCGAATATGTGTGTGTGTGATCTTAGATTAACGGTGCCGTTAAAAGCTAGTTAGTTGCATGCAAAGACCGTGTCTGTGTGAAGCATAACATTACTAACATCACCTTAGCACTGTCTGAAAGACTACAGTTACTACAGTAACCTGAGTTAATCAAATCAACATCACAATACCACAAGAACCTGGGGTCCGAGGGAATCTGACCAATGAAGGGACGGTGTTTGGGCATTTATTGCTTCCATGCCACACCTTGGCAGCATTCTTGGCCCCCTGCTGAGGGGTCTGTTATCTGGCGGGCCCTTTTTCTTTGTCTTTAGTCACTACAAGCAGGCTTTATGGCTTACATAAAGGCCTCGCTGTAGTAAAGACCATTTTCTTTGTGGCTATATTCCAGCATTTCCCTTTTGGTCCAGTTAAACACTTCAAATGAACAAGTTCATGTTTAAAGGTCTCCTTGGATCCCAAAAGTTAGCATATGCAGCAGTGCAGCGGTAAGGGACTTCCTGTGTTAGAAGAGAAAAGAAGAACAAGAAGAAGAAGATATACGATATTGATCCCCAAGGGGAAATTATTATTTTCACTCTTTTTTTTTATACACACACACACAGGCTGAAATACACACTTTCATGCACTTGTGGACATGCAAACAGGGAGACAGATGGTGGAGTGATGGGGCTGCAACATTAACAGCACCCCATGAGCAGGCTTGGGGTTAGGTGCCTTGTTCAAGGGCACCTCGGCAGTGCACAGGAGGTGAAACTGGCACCTCTCCAGCTACCAGTCCACACTCCATATTTTGTGGTTTGTGGGACTTGAACCGGCGACCCTCCGGAAAAGGTCCTTGTTGCAACAATCCTCTGATACTTTGGTCCCGTTGACAAGGCACGGCTCCCGAACGAAGTTTGATGTTGATTTTCTGCGACTGTCAGACTGATGGAAAGTTGACTAAGATTGTTCTCAGCGACTAACAGTTAAGTGGACTATTAGGGGGCGGCCCTGATATTGACCCAAGGTTGGCAGGTCTTAAACAGTAACGGACATAATGAGCTCTCTTTAATGGAGGACTTTTACTATGAAGCAGCTGCAAGAAGTGGTGAGTTTGTAATAATAACTAACTACAGGCTGATCACTAAAGTTTATTGGTGTTGAAATTAAAGGTACAGTTGTTTCATTTCAGACTGAATGCTGAATTCAAACAGAAAATACAACAACACTTTTACTGTTCTCTGTGACCATCTGAGCTTCTACACAGAGTCAGTGGACACATCTTGATATGTTTCAACTACAGTCAACAAATCATTGTACTTATGAAGAAATGTCTTCACAGAGAGAGGAAGAGGAGTTGCTGTGTTTTGTGTCAGGACGTCCTGAAGGATCCGGTCTCTACCAGCTCTGGTTCTGCAGACAGTGCATCACCTCATACTGGTACCAGTCTGCTTCATCAGGAGACGCCTCCTGTCCCCAGTCTGGAGAAAGACCCAGAACAAGACAAAGTAAGACTGTATACCTGTCTGCTGATGTGTTAATACATTAGTTGTGTCATACAGTACGGCCATTTAACACCTTTATACATTTAAATGTAGTTGCATGTTTTTTCTGCTCCAGCATACAATTCTTGTCCTTGTTCTCCTTTGAGAAAACATATTGACACATATTGGTTTTATGATAGCGCCCCCTGTCTTTGCATTAAGCAGTCAGTATGCTGTTTGTTCTCTGTGTGCATAGATGGAGATGGAGAACTATTAAACTCTGTGTAAAGCAGTAACATCACTGTTCTATCACAGACAGACAGCGGCCTGAGACGCAACAAGAGCCACAGACTTTAAACAACAGCTCACATTGGAGTTCCTGCTTGTGACTGCTTCTTCTCTAACTTACAAACACACATCGTCCTGCAGACTGACTTGTTGAACAAGTGACCGAATAACTAAAGCAAAGTGCACTGCTAACATTATTAGGTAGCTAATTAGCTTATCAGTCTCAGCACATTAAACAGCTTAAACTGTACTGTACTTACACTGTTGGCCCTCAGCTCGTAAACAACAGTTTTCAGCATGTTTGCTTACTTTGTCTTTGTGCCACATTGTGTCAAACTGTGAACACGTGCATCTCCACTGCAGCCTCATAGCAGGAAAAAACTAGCTGTTGGTGTTCTGATGGTAGCATCATGGTCAACAGGGGCCAACCTGAGATCCTCCTCCCTCAAACAAAAGCCACGTCTGACTCTAAAGTGATCAACACTCCCATGTGTCTGTGCTGGAGACCAGAGAGAAAGATCTGTTTCTAAAAGTCTCTCTATGTTCAGCTTTCAGTACTTTCATTTAATATGTTTTATTCCAATCTTTGAAAATAATCAGAGGATTGTGAAATTGTCTCCCATTTCTTCTTCTCTTCCAGCAGATGGTGGTCTGCAGGAGCTTTTAGATGAACATAAGATCGGTCTGAGGAGGAGATGTGAACGTGTGACTGAAGGAACTGATGAAACAGGAAGTGGAACCCTCCTCAACAGGATCTACACTGAGCTCTACATCACAGAGGGACAGAGTGAAGAGGTTAATACCCAACATGAGGTGAGACAGCTTGAGACAGCTTCCAAGAAGAAGACCCTCCATGACGCTCCAATCAGGTGCCACGACATCTTTAAAGCCTTACCTGACCAACAGAGACACATCAGAGTGGTTCTGACGAACGGCGTCGCTGGCGTTGGAAAAACCTTCTCAGTGCAGAAGTTCACTCTGGACTGGGCAGAGGGCTCGAACAACCAAGATGTCAGTCTGGTGGTTCTGCTTTCGTTCAGGGAGCTGAACCTGATCAAAGATGAGCAGTACAGTCTTATCAGGCTGCTCCATGTTTTCCATCCAACATTACAGAAGGTCACAGTAGAGCAGCTCGCTGTCTGTAAACTTTTGTTCATCTTTGACGGCCTGGATGAAAGCAGACTTTCACTGGATTTCCACAACAATGAGGTTGTGTCTGACGTCACACAGAAATCTTCAGTCAACGTGCTGTTGACAAACCTCATCAAGGGGAATCTGCTTCCCTCGGCTCTCGTCTGGATAACTTCCAGACCTGCAGCAGCCAATCAGATCCCTCCTGAATGTGTGGACAGGGTAACAGAAGTACGAGGCTTCACTGACGCCCAGAAGGAGGAGTACTTCAGGAGGAGAGTTAGTGATGAAGATCTGTCCAACAGGATCATCTCACACATCAAGACCTCCAGGAGCCTCCACATCATGTGTCTAATCCCAGTCTTCTGCTGGATCACTGCTACAGTTCTGGTCCACATGTTGACTACAGACCAGAGAGGAGAGCTGCCCAAGACCCTGACTGACATGTACTCACACTTCCTGCTGGTTCAGACAAAGAGGAAGAAGCAGAAGTATGATGAGGGACATGAGACGAGTCCACAGGAGCTGATGGAGGCTAACAGGAAGGTTCTTCTAAAGCTAGGGAGGCTGGCGTTTGAACAGCTGGAGAAAGGAAACATCATGTTCTACCAAGAAGACCTGGAGCAGTGTGGTCTTGATCTCACAGAGGCCTCGGTGTACTCAGGAGTTCTTACAGAGATCTTCAAAAGAGAGAGCGTGATCTTCCAGAAAACAGTCTACTGCTTCGTTCATCTGAGCATTCAGGAGTTTCTGGCTGCAGTCTACATGTTCCACTGTTACACCAACAGCAACACAGAGGTACTGAAGGACTTCCTGGGAGAAGAGTATGTTAATCCAACTCTGGATGACTTCCTGAGGGAAGCAATGATGAAACCCCTGAGGAGTGAAAATGGCCAACTGGACCTGTTTGTTCGCTTCCTTCATGGCCTCTCTCTCGAGTCCAACCAAAGACTCTTAGGAGGCGTGCTGGGTCACACAGACAACAGTCCAGAAACCATCCAGAGAGCCATCAACAACCTGAAGGAGATAAACAGTGATTATATCTCTCCTGACAGAAGCATCAACATCTTCCACTGTCTGACGGAGATGAACGACCACTCAGTCCATCAGGAGATCCAAGAGTTCCTGAAGTCAGAGAACAGGTCAGAGAAGGAACTCTCTGACATCCACTGCTCAGCTCTGGCCTACATGCTGCAGATGTCAGAGGAGGTTCTGGATGAGTTGGACCTGAAGAAGTACAACACATCACAGGAGGGACGATGGAGACTGATTCCAGCTGTGAGGAACTGCAGAAAGGCTGTGTAAGTCCAGATGTGATTAACAATATAAAGCAACGTTGAAGTCATCAGTATTAGAGTCAATATACACAATTTACACACACACACACACACAATATAAAACTTCCACACTATAAAAGTTTTCCTAAACTAGTATTAAACCTGCTTATTGAACACATTAGACGTGTTACAATACAAATGTCTCAAATGCACCGAGAATAAGACAGAAATCATTTTTGTGTTTATAGCTATCAGGTCAGTGAACATCTTCTAGTATCTTCTATCGTCTTCTGTCTTTCTTTGGGTGATGGAGGTTCGATACAAATCCAGCAGACAAACCTGAGGGCTCAAGAGTTTGTGCTGGAAATGTCCTTTTTTACAGTGTATACAGTGTATACAGTCTTCTCATGATTTGTGTTGCTGTGGGGTTTCCCCCAATAAAATATGATGTTATTTAACTGAAACTTTGCATTTTAAACTATTATCATTCCAATATTTGTCTTTAAAAACCCGACACAGACGCCAACACCACGGGTATAAAAAGCACAGTCCAAGCGTGGTCACTGAACAATAACAGGATTTAAGCAACTGATGTAGAGTCGAGAGTCTACGGGTCACTACGGATGACGACAAACCAACCAACTGAACAAAAACAGACAACCAGGCTCCCGCTGCTGCCGGTCACTGCGTGTCCATGTGCACATAAAGTGAATATCAACATACCACAGTCCATATGAAAAGACAGTGAATGTCTGAATGAATGAATGAGTTTGATTTATAAACACAGTAAGGAAGCTCTCTCTCTGCTAGTATTTGAATGGACTGCTCTGTAAACAGTGGTATCTTCCAAAGCTGCTGATGTTCAGTGATAGAGAGCGTTTTTGTCTCATTGTTCCTCTTTTCCATCTGGTCACCATAATGTGAGAAATTATCAGTTTACAAACTGTCAGACAGCATGTTTCCTTTCTGACCATTTCACATCAGGAACACTAAAGACAACATATGCAGAGCGGATAGCAGCACACATTTCCACTGTGGTTTTCATTGAATCTGCAGCCAGAGTCTTTGTGTATTTAGCAGCTGATTTCCTCAGACAGCAGCTCATTACACGGTCAGCTCCTGGGACGGCCTCCAGGTTCTTTCTGTCAGTGAAGGAGAGCTCAGCAGGTTCATTTTATCATCACCGAGCTCCAAAAAGAAACAATAGTGTAGATGTCTTGTTTCCAAAACTTTTACTTCAGCCAGTTGAACTTCGTACAGTATAACGGGTGGATCTGTACTCAAATGGCCACAAGGGTTGTTTAAAACGGGACACTTTCTATTTATTTCTTATTTTATTTTGTTGAAATACATGTTTCATTACTTTCTTAGTCTTTGACTGAAGATATTTGATAGTTAGATGCTGCAAAGATAAATACCGGCAATATTAACTTTATTTGCAACGTTTGGGTACTAGACCTTCATCAGGCAAATGGTTCATGACAATGTGGAGCCATCTTAAATAGGGTGCTGCTACAAGTCTGCAAACAGTCCCCACGTGCAGTAGGAAGCTCCTTGTATGTGATTTGGAGTCTGTCACGTTGTAAATTGATGTTGGTCATTAATGCCTTCCTACTGCAAGTGGGGAATGATCATATTTGAAAAACTCAATAAAAATTCAAACCAGATTGTTGTTCAACATGTCCCCAGGTACCGCTGAGCTAAACAGTGGCCAGTATGTGGGACCAGTCCACTTTTTCATAAAGATCCTGATCTCATCCTCACAACATCTTTCCTCGTAATTACGAGATAGTAACTGATAATTACAACATGTCTAAGTGTTTTTTTCTTTTGTGAAGGCAATGTGCTTCTGTAGCTGTTTACATTCTCCCAGACACACTTTAAAAAAATGCACTGCAGAACTACTTTACTGGGTTAATAGTTATATGTAAAAACTGCGTGTATTGTTTATTTTATTTTATTGTAATATAAATGTAATATTTATATGTTCTGTGTGTTTGTGGCATGAAGGGGCTATAACTTACATTTAAACATATTGTGTTAATTATGAATGTTGAATGATTTCTGTGTCTTTCTTTGCTTTGTAATCTAAATGCAGTCAGATTCTGTTATAACGGTTATATTCTCTGTATTCACAGACTGTCTCACTGTGGACTCTCAGGCACTCACTGTGAAGTCATGGCCTCAGCTCTGAAGTCCAACCCCTCCCATCTGAGAGAGATGGACCTGAGTGACAATGACAATCTGCAGGATTCAGGAGTGAAGCTGCTGTCTGCTGGACTGGAGAGTCCACACTGCAGACTGGAGACTTTGAGGTCAGTTCATGTTTTTGCTCTGTGTATACCAAATATAACAGAAGTTTTAAATTTCCTTCAGTTCTTTTGCTTTCTGGGTTTGTCTGAGCACAAATCACAACAGCTCTTGTTTAAAGTCTGTCAGTCTGAATGATTTGGCTCCAGATTTCGTCTGTACTCAAACTGGATTGGTGTTAGAACACTGTAGGATTTATTCTACAATGTGCTGCAGAATGAAATGAGTATTTAGTGAAACACTCGGGGCTGAGGACACGTTCACTGTGTGTAGTACATTCAGTGAGTTAGGATCCATCTGAGTGAGTCAGTGAATCACTGCACGTTGGCTCTCAGCTGACTGAGAACGGATTGTTTGAGGAAGTGATTCAGTACAGTTCGTTCACCCAAAACATTTGTTCATTCAGACGAAACGTATGAATGTAATGTGATCTCTGATTCAACACACTGTGAGTTCTCAAACTCTGGAGACAAAGTTTTATAACACTGGAAATATTAACGCTGCTGACATTGTTAGTGTGAAACTAATATTTCAGACAAGAAATTGTTGTTTTCAGAAGTTTCTAATTGAAATATTTAATGTTAAACCATCGTTAATACTATTAAACCTTTATTCCACACTGAGGATTCAAGCACACAGATTTTATGCTGATTCACAATGAGCATCTTGATGAGCTTCACATTTAAAACATATTTAATATCATATTAATCATTCAACAGTGGTTGATTCTCTCTTAATGGTTTCATTTTCGCCTTTCCCTCATTTGAATGAAACAGAACCGTGTTTTATTCTCGATCAGACAAGAACAAACATGAATGAAAATAAATAGTTCAAAACTGAACCCCAAATCCCACAAAGTGGATTCTGGAAGAACCTGTACACTGTACCTATTGTAACTGTGCTTTTTTTGGTTTCCATTCAAAGTGACACAACATGTACATTTAATAACAGATAACAGATGTATATTGAAAATCAATACAAATAAAATCATAATGAAAGTAAATAAAAATAAACTAGATCATACAACAGATTGTCCCCATCTACTTCTGTCCCCCATGATCTGTGTACATACCGAGTGTTTAAGACACATTAAAGGCACATTTACACAATAACACTAAATATGAAAAATACACAAATACAAGAAGAGAATTAAACACAAAAACTAACAAATTGAATGAAGTATAAAATTAACATGAATACAATAAAGGTTGCAATAAAACTATTGAGGAGACAGTATTTAGTATTAACTCCTCCCACCCCGAACAGATACAGCTGATCCAATCCTAATCTAAAGCTTTTTCTAAACTTGTACATTCTAAACCTTCTTCAGCTCTGAACAGATTATTAAACACTGAATGATTTCAAGCAGGAAAATTGTCTTCTAAACTCACATCTTTTATTCTTTATTCAGATTGAGTTACTGCAGTTTGTCAGAGATCAGCTGTTCTTCTCTGGGCTCAGCTCTGAAGTCCAACCCCTCCCATCTGAGAGAGCTGGACCTGAGTCACAACGAGCTGCAGGATTCAGGAGTGAAGCTGCTGTGTGGTTTTCTGGGGAGTCCACACTGTAGACTGGAGACTCTGAGGTCAGACACCATTTTTTTATTTCTGTGCTGAGATGAATCTGATGTGAAAGTTGTGCTGACAGTGAAGTGCAGACATAAGGCTGATATTATACTGATCCACACTGAGTATCTTAATGCTAAAGTCTGTTTTCTTCTTCAGTGGTTTAGTCCATTGACTGTGGCAGAGCAATGTTGAGCTCTACATTTAAAACCTTCATATAACAAGAAGAATCTACACTGAATAATTCACTGTGAACCTCTTCAGCTCTTGATTTTACATTAAAGGTCACCTTGTGGTTTTAAATCATCCATAAAAATAAATAAATTAACACAAAAAATAAATAAATAATCTTTATTTCAACTATCAGACAATAACAAATATATTCAGTGTTTTTTGAAGCTGTATGATGTTACTACTGACTGAACTGTTTAATTATAAACTCACATCTTTTATTCTTTATTCAGATTGAGTGAGTGCAGTTTGTCAGAGATCAGCTGTTCTTCTCTGGTCTCAGCTCTGAAGTCCAACCCCTCCCATCTGAGAGAGCTGGACCTGTGTAACAACAACCTGAAGGATTCAGATGTGAAGCTGCTGTCTGATCTTGTGGAGAGTCCACACTGTAGACTGGAGACTCTGAGGTCAGTAGAGGGTCTGAGTCAGTCCATGCTGGTTCCAGCAGTCTTGGACTAAACACAGATCCAGTATTTGCTGCTTTCCTCAGTGAAGCTGTGAGAGGAGAATGGGGACAGGCTTCAGGATTGGACAGACAGACAGACAGAGAGACAACAGTCAGCCAATCAGAGAGCCAGAAGCTTGTTGTGATCATGTGTTTGAGTTGATGTGAAGACGACTGTTGTTGTTGTGTTCATGTGTTCAAGAAATAAAGTTCTGAGATCAGTCTGACTGAAGCCTGCAAACAACCATCATTACATTTAGTGACCATGTGGTCTTTGTACAGACCAGGACCTCTGCTGGAGTCCAGTACCCACAGCTGATGTGTTGCTGTTCAGTCTTTGTATGAACATGTAGGACCTTTAACACCAGATATATATCTGTCCATTTGTCTCTTGTTTGTCCAAATAATTTGAATATTTAAACATTTGTCCTGTAAGATTTCAGATGAAACATTCAAATGTGACTGAGACTGTGGTTTTTATCAGATTTGAACCCTAAAAGCAGTAAATGCATCATTCCGGGAAGTGATTTATCTCTGCTGTCCTCTGTCTCCTTCTCTCCTCAGCTGTTGGTGATCTCAGTCAGACTTTGAGCAGTGAGGAAGGAGGTTGTGTTGGAGGATCCGCTGTGTCCTGATGATCCAGAGAGGTTGAAGCAGCAGCATCAGCTCTGACTGGGCCATGTTACTGGGAGGTAGAGTGGAGAGGAGAGCTTCATCCAGCAGTGACTGACAGAGGAATCGCAACCAGTGGAGACGACTCTCAGTGCTGCAGTCTGAACTGCACAAACATGATAAATGATAAATGATAAACAATAAAGGATAAAGATAAAAGTGCTCCAGGATCAGTAAATCAGGATTTACACATAGAGATCAATAAAAAAAAATCACTAAAATAAAGCATCACTAAAATAAATAATAAAAATGCAGGTAAAACAAGAGCTCTGTGTTGTTCTATAACTTATGATTCTTTGGATTTAAGGTCTCTAGCTCTTTAGAAACACTTCTACATTTTTAGAATTAACAGGACACTGACCCTGTCCTACTAATACAAAATGTCCACCTAGTGTTGGTGTGTCTTAATATCAAATGTCCTCTTGTTGCACAAAAACCAAAACACACGCATTGTTTTTGTTTTGTAAATTTTCTCTCTGAAATTCTCCTCTTTGAATTTAAAATACATTTACAATACTTCTACTTTATTGTATATATTAAATTCAATTCAATTCAATTTTATTTGTATAGCGCCAATTCATAACAGAAGTTATCTCAGGACACTTTTCAAATAGAGCAGGTCTAGACCGAACTGATTATAACATTATTTGCAGAGACCCAACAGTACCACCATGAGCAAGACCTTGGAGACAAGGGCAAGGAAAAACTGCCTGTTAAAAGGCAGAAACCTAGGACAGATCCGTCGGCTCTAGGTGGGTGGTCGTCTGTCTCGATCAGTTGGGGTGAGAGAGAGAGAGACAGAGAGAGAGACAGACAGACAGACAGGTGCACAGCCACAACAGTAGCAACAACTACACTAGTGACTAGTAGTGACTGATGATGATGAACATGAAGAAGACGATGATGACGACAACAGCAGCGATGGGGGACAACGAGCAGCGACAACGGCAACAACAGTAACTGTAGTAATAATAATAATAATAATTACACTAATATCAGTGATATTAGCAATGGCAGTGAAGCAGGACCATGGCAGGAGGCTCCACCAGGATCCATGAGAACCTGCGAGACGAGAAAGCATAGAAACTCCAGGGAAGAAGTGAAGTTAGTAACATGCATTAATGGGACATGAATGAGTGCAGAAAGAGAGAGAGAGAGAGAGAGAGAGGAAGACAGGAGCTCAGTGCATCATGGGAAATCCCCCGATAGTCTAGGCCTATAGCAGCATAACTAAGGGATGGTTCAGAACTCACCTGATCCAGCCCTAACTATAAGCTTTATCAAAGAGGAATGTCTTAAGCCTACTCTTGAATGTGGTGAGGGTGTCTGCCTCCCGAACCACAACTGGAAGCTGGTTCCACAGGAGAGGAGCTTGGTAACTGAAGGCTCTGGCTCCTGTTCTACTTTTAGAGACTATAGGAACCACAAGTAGCCCAGCATTCAGAGAACGTAGTGTTCTAGTGGGGTAATAGGGTACTATGAGCTCTTTAAGATATGAAGGGGCCTGACCATGAAGCTTTGTAGGTGAGGAGGAGGATTTTAAATTCTACGCTAAATTTTACAGGGAGCCAATGCAGAGAAGCTAGTACAGGAGAGATGTGATCTCTTTTCCTAGTTCCTGTCAGTACTCGTGCTGCAGCGTTCTGAATTGGAGGAGTTGCAGTAATCCAGCCTAGAACTAACAAATGCATGGATTAGTTTTTCTGCATCTGTCTATGATTCCTAATAACATTGCCTAAAGGGAGCATATATAAAGTAAATAGTATTGGTCCAAGTACAGAACCTTGTGGAACTCCATGACTAACTGTAGTATTTATTGAAGATTCATCGTTAACATGTACAAACTGAGAATGATCTGATAAATATGACTTAAACCAGCTTAGTGCGGATCCTTTAATGCCAATTTGATGCTCAAGTTTCTGTAAAAGAATATTATGGTCAATGGTGTCAAATGCAGCACTAAGATCTAATAATAGAAGAACAGAGACAGAGAACAGAGAAGTCCATTGTCGGAAGAAATCAAAAGGTCATTATTAACTTTAACCAGAGCTGTCTCTGTGCTGTGATGAACTCTAAATGCTGACTGAAATATAGTGTATATATTTTATATTTAATTATATTTTACTGTATTTCATTCTTTTATTGTATTTTCTTGTTTTATTTTTCATTAAATGAGCTCCAAATTTACCAGTCTTTCTAGTCTTCCGACCACTCAAAGCGCTTTTACACTACGTACCACATTCATCCACATTCACACAGCGATGGCAAAGCCCATCGAACAGAAACTAATGCATTGATACACATTCATACAACCGTCCGATTAGGGGTCGACCCGCTCTGCCTCTGTGCCACAGCCGCCCATAAAGTAATGAACAATCTGATAAAATGTATTATTCTGCATAAAAGTACTTTAGTTACCTGAACAATAACAATTAATAGGGTGGTATGAGCTCTTTAATACGGTGCCAAATGTCAGAAAATAAGGTATTATCCTAATATTGTGACAATTGGAAACATTGACCTCCCCATTCTAAGTGATGCCAAATGTAAGATATGTTCTTAATATTGTGACAGTTGACATCACTTAAAATGGGTGGGTCAGCGTTTTCATTTGTCAGTGGCCCTGGAATAAATGATAAAAATACAGGTAAAACAAGAAGAACAAGAATAACTGAGGATTCTTGAGCTCTATAGCTCTGTAGAAACACTTCTACTTTTTTAGAATTAACAGGACACTGACCCTGTCCTGCTAATACAAAATGTCCACCTAGTGTCGGTGTGTGTTAATATCAAATGTCCTCTTGTTGCACAAAAACCAAAACACACGCATTGTTTTTGTTTTGTAAATTTTCTCTCTGAATTCTCCTCTTTGAATTTAAAATACATTTACAGGTACAGTGTTTCTACTTTATTGTATGTAGTGTATTTATTTTATATTTGATTATATTTTACTGAATTTTATTCTCTTATTGTATTTTATTATGTTTTATTTTTCACTAAATGAGCTCAGCTGCTGCTCGGTTCATTTATAACAATTTATAAAGTAAAACTACAATATTTCCCTCTGAGATGTGGCGGAGCAGAAATATTAAGACTCAAAGTACATCAAATATTTATTTATTTATTTAATATTTCTATTTCTGATGATTTTATTTGTTAAAGATGTATTTTTTTAATACATTTTTACCCCTTCTCGTTAATTACTCACTTATTTATGGAATTTCATTATGAGAAATATTCTCAAAATATTGATCAAGGTTGTTGTTATTTTGTGATATTGACTCAATATTTTTTCATTATAATGACTAACAATCTTTATTTTGTCACATTGGCTGAAACGGGCTTCCATACTTATATTTAATGTCAGATTTGTTAAGTTTCTCTTTTCACCAAGAACCTTGTTATTGGGGAGGTGGTTATGAATGTTCACTCAAATGAACAAAAGCCAATAAACACAGTATTGATAAAAACAGTATTTTGCTCCTTTGGTTCCACAAACTGAAGATCAATATTGATTATAGATAACTATAAAGAGAAATAAAGAGAAGCAGAACAGAACGAGCTTTAATCTTTATTCTTCATTCATTTGGAAGAAAAAATAAAAACGAGGACTCGCCCCCCCCACCCTGAAATCAAACACATGGTGGTTGACGTATGATGATGATGATGATAGTTTTATTGCCATAAACAGTGTAGGAAAAAAAATCAACAAAAAAAGTTAAAACAGCCGTTTTTATTCTATAGTACAGTAAAGCAAATAAAACTGTTTATCAGCGACACAAACGTTCTCCAAGCGACGCGGAACCGAAACCGACCGAGACCACCGACTGAAGCTTTAAATCCTGTCCCCCCGGACCCGATCCCGATCCACACTGACACACCTGAAAACATCCACCTGGACCAGGTTCCACGTCGTGTTCAAAGGTTACAAACAGAACTTCACTGACGGCGAGAATTTGGACTTTTTTTTTTCTTTTTTTTTTAATCAATGTGGTTACAAAAAGGTGGCAGTCGGTTTCTACAGGAACTGAAATTACAAAAAAACAGCACAAAAACCTTTAAATTTCTTCTTTTCTGGTGGGGACACGATGAGTTAGCGCCACCATCTGGTCAGGAGTATGTGGTTGCTGATTTAAATGAATCAGGACTGCAATCAAAGACAGATGGAAGAAGGGAAGAGAACAGAAAGAGGTGAAGAAAAAAGAGGGCGAAAGGAAGGGAAAAATAAAATTAAGCATAACAGGGAAGAAAAACATTGTTTCGCCCTGTCTGTCCTCGCTTTCACTTCCCTTTGTCTCCTCTTTTATCCCCTCTTCTCCCCCATAAACGCTGTGTTCTGTCTATCAACCTCCTGCTCTGCTGTTGAGGAACGTAGCTGGATGCTTAATGAGGAGAAAGGGATGGAAGAATAAAAAACAAGAGCTCAGACAGGAACAAAGAAGAAAAAATGAAATTAAGGATTAAAGGGAAGACGAGACACTTTCTCTTTGTCTCTAATTTCACTTCCTGATTTCTGGTTGCGTTTCTTCCCCTCCGCGAGCTCCATGTGTCTCTGTAGAGCAGCGCCGTGTCGCATATTTAGATCACGTGATTTAAGGGAACAGAAGAAAGATAAAGAGCCGTCCCCCAATATTGGACTAAAACCAGAACACGGACCTTTTCTCTTGTAACACAGGAGGTCTCCGGCTGTACTAGCCGCCGTTAACTAACTAGATAGCAGTGCTATTAGCAGACTGGGAGCTCGAAGGACGCAGGGAGGTTTGTTTACATCACCAGGGTGAGTTGGGCGAGCGGGCAACGGAACCGGGCTCAGCAGCCTCTTGGGCCCAGAATTCTGGTTCTTGAGCCCATTGAAGATTCTTGGTGCTAGCTAGCGAACCAGCCGCCGTTTCCACCAGTTTTGAGCGGAACCGTAGTAATCAAGGATGTATCACCAACAGAGGGCGCTGCACAGCGACCTGTAGGATAGGACACGCTCACTTTGGTGGTCGGGAGGCCTTCTTGATTGAAAGGGGAAAACTTTTTATACTTAAAGTTTAGATTATTATTCAAGATGTAAACTATGAAGACCTGAAGCGAACCTCAGAGAGCCTTCACTGTCTAATAAACAGCCACAACAAAGAGCTAATAGAACAACACAACAAGTGCAGATTAAGTCTGTATGATTGTTAAAAAATATATCTATATATATATCTATATATATATATATATATATATATAGTAGGAAAGATAATTGTAAATTATTATTAATTGTAAAAAGTTCCTGAAATTATCATTAAAACTAATCTGATCAATATTCACAGGAAATAATCAAATCTCTGGTTTTCCACAAACTTCCTGCAGTTATTGAGTTCACTGTTTGGGTTCATTGTTCAGTTTATGAGCTGTTCTCTGCTGTTGTTGTTATTGTTGAAGATAATATGATATATCCATAAATGTACTGAGGGGTTGACTCAGAGCTAGAAAAGGGGCCCTTTAAGTATAAATGTTGGGAACCACTGAGCTAGAAAGTGAAACAGTCACAAATGTGATCATTAAGGGCGTTTCCACGACTGAAAATCTAGACTGCATTTCCTGCTTTTCCTTGGGGAACAAAAGTGGTGGCGTGTCGTATCCTGTCGGTCGGCGTGCAGCGCCCTCTGCTGGTGATACATCCGTGATTTCAGCGGTTCCACTCAAAACTGGAGGAAACGCCGGTTGGTTCAACAGACATTTCCAAGAGCAGGACTGCACACAGCGAGTTCAGGAGAGGAGCAGGTTGATTTGTAAGTAATAACTCATCCATCGTATCGATTCGTCTATAAGAGAGTTTGTTTTAGTGACACTGAAATTACAAATTCTAACGACACTAAAGACATCGAGAGCTGAGTTCAAATAGCATCCACATGATTCTATAAAGTACGATCAGTATGAAAAGGTAAACAGCTGAAAAGGTTCAGGTAATGTCCTGTAAATGGGACAATGCTGCAACCTGCTGATGGAAACGTGGACCTGCAGCAGACGGTTCGTCGTCACTGCAGATCGACGCTTTCATTCTTTTTCTGAAGAAAACGGTTTACAGTCAAAGTTTAAGACAACAAATAAACAAACAACAAACACAGCGAGAGGAAAGAGAAGAACAGAGGAGGAGAGGAGGAAGCTTTCTTTCTTTCTTTCTTTCAGGTGAATCCAGTTCAGGTGAAGTTTTCAGTGAGGATCAACGTGTGGACGACCAGAGGACTGTAGGCTACGCCCTTCGCCGCTGCCTCCTGTTGTCCCCTGTGACTAAACTGTGCTGCGTTCAGGGTGTGTGGGACAAAATAAAAGGTGATTGTAGCTTATTTTCGTAGGCTTTGGTTTCCAGGAGCAGAAACAAACTAAGAACCAATATTAGGAATCGGATTAATCATCGCAATCAATTCATTTCCAGCAGTCTGTTTTTCCCTTTTTCCTTGAACGCAGCATTTGAGTTTAGTTCAGTTTGACTGTTTTTGGGGGAAAATCCTGCAGACAGTGAACGCAGCATCTCCACTCTTAACAACTACAACCTCAACAGGTCCTACCAGCAGTGCATCATGGGAACAGTCACTCTAGAGCTTCAGGCTCAGGTGAGTCTGCTGCAGTGGGGGCGGAGCTTGTCAAGGGCCAGAAGCACATTAAACCCCGCCTACCCGCGGCGACAAGCAGAACAAAACAAACACAAAATGCGGCAAAACAAAATAATATAAAGACTCCTTCGATCAAAGCTGGAAAATCTGATTGATGAGTCGCCACGACAACGAGCGAGAGTGAAAAAAAAATAGTTTGTCTATGACTCGACTAATCAGGGCGAGGGGGCGTGGCTGCAGCCAAGAGACTACAAAATACAAAAAAACTGACTTTACAAGTTTGACCTTCTGTCTGCTGGAGAGTAAATGATGGGCGACCTTTGACCCGGCGGAGCAGGAGAGAGGAGGAGGGGAAAGGGGCGGGGCTAAGCAGGTATGACATCACAGTAAGCGGAGGTGCAGGTGAGTGGGGGGGGCGAGGGGTGGGGCAGAGAAACCCAACGTTTCGACATGCATTCACAAGCTGCTCGTTGTGTTTGTGTTTACAGGTTTATTTTTCATCAGTGTCAGAGTGTGTGTCATCTTTATTCCGACTAAGAATAAATTCTCTCAAACTGAACTCAAACAGGAAGAAGACGAAGCAGAAGCAGAAGAAGAAGAAGAGGAAGAAGAACAAGAAGAAGAGGAGGGCGGCGTCCGCTCGCTCGCTGTCTGTCTGTCAGGAAGGAATGCTAACTGTGGCGTTTAAACTCATCCCGTTGGCGCTTCTGTATTTTTCGTTAAAGTTCTCTATCTGTTCACTCTCGTCCTCCCCCTCCCTCCAACTCCCTCCTCCCTCCCTCCCTCCCTCCCTCTCTCCCTCCCCGCTACCTCCCCCCTCCCTCCCCTCCCCTCCCTCCCGGCCCTCATGGCCTTCAGTCTCTTAAGGTTTTTCCTTGGGGATCACCTCCTCTCGCGGCTTGGCTCCGCCGAAGATGGCAGAGTTCGGGTTGGCGACCTGGTTGAGCGGCTCGGAGACGGTCCGAGGCTTCAGCTGCAGCCGGGGCCGCTGTGCACGCTCCTCTGTGCCACACAAACAAACAAACAAACAAACAAACAAACAGAGAAAAGAGGTTGTTGACTTTCAGCCTTGTAATCTGCCACCTGCCATTCGTCCAATCAGCTGATCCTGAATCAAACAAATAAAAGCCTAAAACAAACAGGAAGTTGCGTCACCTTCAGACGGTTCCCTGAAGTCTGTCCCTCCTCCGCGTGGGGGTGGGGGGCCGTCTCTGAAGCGACCCGGTCCTGCGCCTGCCCCCGCCCCCCTTCTCTCGCTGGGGCGACCACCACTGCCGCCGCCTCGACTCCGCCCTCCCATGAAGTCGTCATCTCTAAAACCTGCAGAGACAGACGGACAGACAGACAGACGGAGGGACAGACAGGTGAGTCAGCAGATAGACGGCCTCAGGTGACCTGCAGCGTCTAGAACCTGGAAGGTGACTGATGAGCGTGAGATGGTTGAAGTGAAAGGAATGATGGGAGGGGGAAAAAACGGGCCACTGTCCAGCAGCTTCAGGAGGCGGAGCCAGGCTACAGGGGTCAAAGGTCAACAGTGCACTTATATCAGTGATAATCAGGTTGGTTGGTTTTAGCTTAGTGCTAACCTTAGCATAGTTAGCTGAGCTTGCAAACTAGTTTCCAAATAAATACTTTATTCTTCCTTTTTTCTCGTCACAACAACCCACGTAGAACTCTGAGGCCAGTTCCCTGTTTCCCAGTTAAAGAGCAGCGTTGGTTCGATGCCTCACTATCACGATAACAAACACTCGTAAGTTCATCGAGGGGAATTTGCATTATTAGCTAACTAACTAGCATACAGTTGATTTCTTGTCTTATTTTTAAATTGTCACTATTGGGATCTCGCGTCTTCCCAAATTCCTCGGCTCGTCCGCTGTATTCAGCTGGACGGATCGAGACGTCGGTAAATCAAAACCACAAAGACGAAAACATTTCAAAGGAAGAGAAAAGTCGTATTTTTAGTGAAATAATGCAGCTTTAAAGAGCCGGGGAGATTATTTCTTGCTGGTAAAGTTGATTTTGGACTCGAGCTCCAGTAAAACAACACAAAGGTTTGTGGTCCGCTGTTACACTGACGTTTATCTTCAGTAACTTCTATTAGAACAAATAAAAACAGAATACTTCAGACAACAAATGTATTATTTACATTTGAAATAGTTTTGTCCCATAAAGAAGAACGGTTATTAAAACGATGTCCCCACAGCGCTGCATGATGGGAGAATACGGCTGTAAATGTTCAGTGACCAGAGATCATCACTGAAGCACAAATATTATAGGAAGACGCTTTTCTTTAACAGTAACAGCACCTGGCCTAAACAGGAACCTCTGATCTCTTCAGAGTAAAGTCCTGTGTTTACTTTGACTGCAGCTGTTCTGTTTAGTTTTACTCTGAAAGTTTTCAACTTCCTGCTGCAGCCCAGCAGTGCTCTGATTGGTCGGCTGGGATCTGCTGCTGTCCAACCTGAGCTGTCCGCACCTCCTCCAGGCTGGTCGTAGTCCTCGCGGGAGTCACGTCCTCCTCCTGGACCTCCTCTTTGAGATCCTCGAGAACCTCCTCGTCCTCCTGCAGGGGACAGGGGGGAGTTTAACACCGACAGGAGGAGACGGGGAGGGAGGAGAGAGAGGGAGGAAACGGGGAAGGAAACGGGGAGAGGCGCCTCCTTTCCGGAAGGAGCAGGAAGAACAGCAGCTGAAGAGGCGGAGCTTGTTAGTTGTCCATCAGCCAATCAGAGAGATGTTAGAGAGAGGAGGAAGTGAGGCTGCTTAAGGCTGAAGGTTAACCTCACCTGTTACCTGTCTGTCTGTCTGCCTGTCTGTGTGTAGCAAGTAGAGGAAAAGAAAAGGGGGGCTGTGGAGGTGAGGATGAGCTGATGGAAGGATGATGAGTGAAAGATGAAGAGTCCTCCTCCAAGTCAAAGGTCAAACAGTGACATGATAATTTTTAAATTTTTCAAAATAAAATGTGTTCAGATTGAGGAGGTTTACGTTCAGACTTGGAGGAGAAAGAAGAAAGCAGAAGATCAGTTACACACACACACACACACACACACACACACACACATATATACCTTTACATTCCTACATATCCAACAGGGGACTGATGTTTCTGGTTATTAAAAAAAACTAAAATAGCATAGAAAATTTTCTTTTATGTTTTTTTACCAGAATGGTTTTTTTTTTTAAGGAATTTACTAAGAGGGGACATTTTTCCATTAGTGATGTCTACTTAAGAAAGAGGGGACCTCCATATACTGCAGTGGAACTGCCTCTACCTATTCTTTCACCTTCGATGAGTGTTTGTTTACTGCAAAGACTTTCTTTGTTTCTTTCAAAAACACAATTTAACTGTAATATTTTCAATATTTAAACCTTTATCTGCGATACAGATATTACAAAAATAATCATGGCCACTTTTTTTGAGAAAAATTATTTACCTAACGGGTAAATAATTTACCTAGTAACTTGGTCGCATGCACTAAAAAACAGGGAAAACATTTTAATAAAGCGGTCAGCAGTAGGATCCTGTCTTTTCAGTTTTAATTATTAAAACTTCACATCAGACTTTGACTAGCCCTTTAAAGTGGCTCAGTCCCAAAATACTCACTGACCACTTTTCACAAGCACTGGATCTCAATTTGTTTTTCAATAAACAAGCTCAGTTTGCAATTCTTCTCAATAATTGTCTGTTAATTCTCAGTACATAACAAAGTCCCCACTTGTATTGTATAGAATGACAGGAGTCCCCTGTTGGACGGTACATAATGACACAAGTTCCCTCTTAGATAGCATAGAATGACATTCACACTCCAGCATGGAGACTATCTGACTGAACGGACTGACAAGGTTTCTAAGTCTTCAGTCAGTGTTACTAGCACATTTATGGAAGTAAATACATTTTTAAAAGAAGCTGACTGTTTAAGTGTGTTTATCTCTCTATTAAATGGTTATTCACCTCTCTGTAATTAGGCGACACATAACCAATTGCAACAAAACTTAGTTAAATTATTTGTAAAAACTAAAACAAACTATAGATCTACTGATCTGATCCGATGTCAGCTTGTTAAGCAGTCCTACATTCTGGCCTCCCCTCAGGTCTCACTGTGACTGTGACACTGTCCCCGGAAGTCCTTCTGCATAGATGTAGATGTAAACTAAGGGCCTGTCCTCACGAATACGCGGCCTCAGCCAATACGATGTTGTTTCGAAAAAAATCTCCATAAACACAGCGTTGTTTCCAGAAATATCTGCGTCCACACAGGCTAGTCACAAGCCTAACTCTAAAAAAAAAAGACATTATGTAATCATGTATGTTTGTATCACTAGCAAAGACGACCAATGTAAAATTTGTAAATGAATTGATTGAATGGTAACTTCATGCCTTATGCGTGAAGTGTGCCTGGTGCCTTTCTGTTCCAATCACTGCCTTTGTTCAAAATCATCCCTTTTGAATAAATACCTCAGCTATGACTTTTGAAGAACTATGGCTCTAATTTCTTATATTATTTAATTTCAGAGAAAGCGTGAGAAACTCAGTTTAGGAGTATGTGTGTGGGTCTTAAGCACTTTAAATAAACTTTGAGAAGAGCTGCTAACCATTTCAATGCCCATTTAAAGCACTAACATAGCAGTTATGCAGTAAATATACAACTTCATGTGCCACAGATTGCAAACATTAGAGAAAAACAAATGATAGTAAAATGAAGGTAAGGACTACAGTCCAACCAAAACCATCTGCACTATAATAAGGTAAATTAAGATACAAATTTTATCCAGTGACTACAGTAGCTGCCTGGGGTCTAACAGTGGGCTTTGTGGGGTTTGTCTATCCTCTAGCTGACTTCCCTTAGATATGTCCAAAATAGGTCATAATAGGTTGTCATTATGTTTCACAATACACTCCACATTTCAAAAAGCCACAATGACAACATTGCTGGTGGCAAATTAATAAATAAAAAAACATCACTACAGATTATATTATATTTAGTTTAGATTGTTACTTTCTCCTAAGAATTTTGCTTATTTCTTTTTTATTCATCCATGCTGGAGCGTGAATGTCGTTCTATGCTATCTAAGAGGGAACTTGTGTTATTATGTACCAGCCAACAGGGGACTCCTGTCATTCTATACAGTACAAGTGGGGACTTTTTTTATGTACTGAGAATTAACAGACAATAATTGAGAAGAATTGCAAACTGAGCTTGTTGATTAAAAAACTGATTGACATCCAGTGCTTGTGAAAAGTGGACAGCGAGTATTTTGGGACTGAGCCACTTTAAAGGGCTAGTCAAAGTCTGATGTCAAGTCTAATAAGTAAAACTGAAAAGACAGGATCCTACTCCTTATCGCGTCATTACTAATTTTTCCTGTTTTTTAAAATTTTCTTCCCTTTTTAGAGTTTAAAATACTTATTACTCCTTTTGAGGCCTTTTTGTGAATTTCCCCAGTGTGTCTCTCTTGTCTTTTGGACAGCCCTTTATGTTAATACCATTTCAAGTCTGAAACTCTAAAGGTGAGCCTTCTTTGCCACAGAAACATAATAACAAATCATGTTTCACGAAAGCTGAACCTTTACATACATAAATACATATATATATATATATATATATATATATATTTATTTTTTACAAAAACTAAAAGAAATCCTGTATCCTTTCTTCACTATAGCCTTTGTAATAGCCCCTCTACAGTCTGAAAGACAGCCTGGGGCTTAAGCCATTCACAACTCAAAGGTGTGTTTAAAACGACATGTGTGAATGGGTCATTGAATCCTTGCTCCAGCCTGCAGAGTCAAGGCTGAATAGGGATTAAACACTCACACACCTTTTAAGTCCCCTGTTAACAAAAATTTTAAAAAGTTCACCAGATTTTAGGTTTATCTAAAATGACTGAGAGGGGACCCAAAACAAGTCTCCTGTCAGTCCCCTGTTAGTAAGTTATGTGACGATGCTCAAGTTCCCTGTTATAAAGGTTGGCAAGTTTGCAACAAAAAAACACACACACACACACACACACACACACACACGGTTAGTGATCTACTTCCTGTTGGCGTTTGTACCTCTAGCGTCGTCTTTTCTGAAGCCGAAGCCGCCTCCTCCTGGTCCTCCTCGCTCTTGCCTCCGCCCCTCTGCGATGTCCACCCTCAGTGACCTTTGATCTAGCAACTGCAGGGGTCAGAGGTCACGTTAGACTTAAACAACAGTGTCAGTGGATGTGTGTGGACTTCCTGTCAGACTGAAGAGTCAACAACTTCTAAGAAGAGAAACCCTGACTCTGCTTCTACAGAAGAATAAAAGAATAAAAACTCAGATACTCACAGCACCGTCGTACGTCAAAGCTTCTTTTAGAGATTCCAAATCTTCAAACTCAACATAACAAAAACCTTCAGGAGACAAACACACACAGTCACACTTTACTGTAAGTTCCTCATACATTTATCACAGGTAAGTTAGAACAGGGTCCAGGACCAACCTGTGTGTTTACAGCTGTAAATACAGTGTAAATGAGCACTGAGATCATGTCACTCACTCATGTTACCTTCACTGTAACCCAACTGAGACTGACTGCACTGGGGCCCCTTTTAAAACATTCTGGAATTACAATCAGCACATTTTCTTATCGTATAAAACATTTCCAGCCTCGTAATCACAAATTAGGGCTGGGCGATAAATCGATTTTATCGATTAATTCGAATTTGTAGTTAAACACGATTTATTTTTAGTTAAAATCGGTTTTCTCTTGAACTTCCACAACACTGGCGCTCCCTTTGGGCTCCCGTAGCTCAGAGTGGGCTGACCCCTCCCCCCACCTCTCCACAGATAAACACAACACGGCAGCAAGCCAGGATGAGCTCGTCCCCAAAAAAGGCACAGTGTCGTCGGTTGTTTGGAACTGGTTTGGTTTTGTGGCGTCCAACAGCGAACAAACCACGACCCACTGCAAAGTTTGTTTGAAAGCTGTTGCAACCAAAGGTAGCAGTACGACCAATTTATTCCAGCACCTCAAGCAGAGGCATGCAGCCGAGTGGGAGAAATGTTGCTCTCTGCAAGACATACAGGACCGCAGCCCACAAACACCTGCTAGAAAACAGTCTACACAAAAATCGTAAATCGGGTTTGGTGTGAGATTTTATTTTTAAGCCGTATCGCCCAGCCCTATCACAAATATATTTTAAACAAATATTACCTAGAATTTCAGCCATGTTCTCCTTTAACCAAAACTAATTATTTGTGGCAAAAATTAATATTACAGCAAAAAAAACATAACTATGGTGTTCACATGACCTGGAAACTGCAAGATATTAGCCGCAATATCACCAGACTCCCTTTAAAAATCACACAATTTCAGAGTTGTTGCGTGAGGAGAAGCTTTATAAACTCTTTAAAACACTGCCTACGACAGATTATATATTATATTGGCCTTCTTGTAAATTCGGCAATCTTCTTACATTAATTTATTAATATCTTTGTGTAAAAATAAGAGTGTGGTGAAGTGAACAACAGAAAGAAGGAATAGTGGAATCTCATAATAACGGACATTAAGTGACACAATGGTGAGCATGTGCAGCCCTGTATTAGTGCGTATTAGTGCGTGTTTGCATTTAGAGCGGCTCACTGGATACACAATCCCAGGTACAAACAGGCAGTTGCTTCGCTGCCCTGGAGCTCAACAACAGAACTCATGGAGCTACGGTGTCCTGGTTGTCAGTGTGTGTTTAGATCTCAGGGTTTCTGTGGACGATGAAGCTGACCTTTGAACTTGTCTGTCTCTTTGTCTCTGACCAATCGGACGCTGCGGATGTTGAGCTCTTTGAAGATGATGTCGATGTCTCCCTGCACCGTGTTGAACGGCAGGTTTCCCACGTACGCCGTGAACGGGGGCTCCGACGGCAGCTCCTTCTGCTTCCTGGGGCCTCCGGCTCCGCCGCCACCGCTGCCTCCACGGGGTCTGACGGGGGGGACAGACAGAAAGCATGATGGGATATGGAGTACAGACAGCTGTCAGGTTGCTGCTCCAGATTCCCCCACCCCCCAACATATAAATACAGCAGTCACCTGATAGCAGCGTGGACAGTATGGAGCAGCACAGGTTGTGTCAGGAGCAGAAATACTAGCTCTACTACTGGTGAGCACAGGAAGTATTCAGCTCTAAAGCACTAATAACGCTGTAAACTGTACGCCGTCTAAAAGCTGCTGCGTCACTTTTTACACAAACACTTTCTTTACCTTATATGACCGCTAACACTGCTTATAGTTCTTTATAGGAGCACTTTTCACACTGACATTGCCTTTGCAGTCCAGCATGCCACAGCCTCCTGCTGTGACCTCTGCAATGTTTCATATCAATCACATCTGTATAGAACAGCTGTATATAGTGTACATACAACCCTTATTGTATTTGCATTATCGCTAATTATCTGCAGTGAGTGAATTGTCCCAGTGTGGGATCAATAAAGTCTATCTTATCTTACCTTTCACAGTGCTATAGAAAGTGAATGTGTTACTATTATTAGAATTCCAGCCATTACTAACAACTACTGGACATATGCTTTACAACAACACACAGCTCAACAGTTAATTGGTTTTCCTCTAAAATGACCATTATTTTGAAAACTCACATAACCGTTTAAAGAAATGATATTGGCATCGCTACCCAGAAACACAGCAGCGAACCGTGAGGTAGGTACAGGTACAGGTACAGGTAGGTGTTAATGAAATCACTATATGGGCAACATCCATAGAAGTGCAACATCCAGATGACAGCAAGCTAAAATGTGACAAACAGCGTTATAATGAAAGACCGCTGCCAACAAATCTTCTCCAGATGAAAGAAAACACACAAAAATAATCATTCCCACTAACCCTGAATTATATTGTAATATCTGATTAATATACAGACATTTGCATCATTAAAGTTTGCATTGAAGTCGTCTATGTAGCATCTTAAAGGTCCTCATTTATTTTGTTTGGCTGTTCACCTCCAGCTTTATTGTGAAAAGTGCAGTATAAATGCAGTTTATTATATATAGTAAAGGTTGCTGATCTGGAGGGACATAAGAGTCACATGAACTCTGACGCTCAGCCTCAGTGTGGGACTATCTCATAAGCCATTAATGAACATAAGCATTTATCTTTATATTTATATATTATTTATTATTTATTGGGCATTTTCCCACCACACATTCTGGCCGTTGATGCCGGTTTTACGTTAGATTTTCTGTCACTGAGGAGCAACGTGTTCAGAAGCCGTGGTGATGATGGATGGTGGTTAACAGTGGGATGTGAGAGAGTTACAGTACAGACTCTTTCACCTGCTTCCCAAAGAAAGAGGCAGCGCTGACATCGTCCCACAGCAGACCGTTGTTTGTTACGTTATGATCTGATTCTTTAAACTCCCAAATATCAGCAGCATCAGTGGGGGGGGGTTATGATCTGAAGTAGGGCTGCACCATGTGCTAAAAACATCATCTTCTGAGTATTTGGCAGATATTGCCATGTGATTTTAACTCAAATTAAAACTATTTTCACAACAAATTAAAATCTAATTAAAATGTGACATTGTTCGGGGTCTGTAGCAAACAAACATGTGTTCTTAAAGCTGGAGAACAGGATCAGTAGACCAGGTCCCCTCTGCAGCTCGACAGTGCTTCATTATAACGCTGTTTGTCACATCTTACCTCCTGTGATTTGCACTTGGCCACATTGTGATTTCAATAATATTTCCATTACTTGTTCAGCACTAATCTGAAGACGTCACTGGGCCCGAACAACCTCACTGTCAGATTTGAATTATTCTCATCATTATTTACCCAGAAGTCTCCATTCTGCTGTAGCAGGTACAAATGTGAGTATTCAGGTGTCATAAAGGAGATTAGTGGTGTGGTCGTTGGTACGTTGGCGTCCTGCAGCAGGTAACTGTTATTCTGCAGCAGTCTGAACACACAGCCCACATTATCTGCAAACTCATATCTGCTGAAATAAACAACATCAGCAGAATGTTATACTCTTAGTTTTTAGGTTTTCATCGTTGCTTTTTCATTATTTGTCTCCCTTGGTGTTTCATTTCTATACAGACTCTTATTTTGTGATGTTTTACGTTTTATTGCATTGATTCTTAGCTAAATGTTTTCTTGTGTTTGTTCTGTGAAGCGCTTTGGTTTGTATGGACGGGGCTGTATGAATACGGTGGAGAAGCTTTAACGAGGCTCACAATGTCATATAATTGCAGTCTTGTTCAAGCTGTTGAGTTTTTACATTGTTTTACGTCGTATTGTCCCACAGACTTTACAGATTCATTATTGCTCTGAACTTCAGTCAATAAAACACATTTGTGTTGTTGTTTTTGGCCCAAAGAGCGATGCACCATGGGAAATATATATTATTATGTATCATTATGACAATTCAATTATAGCCAATTTATTTTGAATATTGATGCCAAACGCTTTAAAGGCTTTCTGTTCATCCAATGTTTAAGGAGTGAAAGACTAAATGTGTTTTTTAAACATTTGTAGAGTCAGAACTGTTGTTTGTTTGTTGTTGTGTAAACAATAGTGAGGAAATTACCTAATTTTGTTTATTAGGTAGAATACATAAATATGAATCAGTTATAAGTTATCTGTGGGGCTGCGAGATATTATGGTTGCGATATGATTCAGGATCATTTTTACATGAAAACCTCATTAAAACCGTGAAGTTGTGACATTAGTTCTTTTGATATAAAGCTGTTTTTACACATATTTTACTTTATCAATAAGAAAACTGCAGCTTTAGCGAGTTGCATACTGTGATTGTGATAGTATATGGATTCATTGTGCAGCCACAGTTATCGGCTGATCTCCAGTCCAGAGAATGTATCGGAGAGGACCTGAGGGACCTGATCGATCAATTCTTCCCAATCTGAAGTTCTGCTCCACAATCCAAAGCTGAGTTATTGACCTTCACAGATAAATCAATTAGTCCATCAACAGCAAATATTTCAGCCACAATTCACCTCAAGATGTCACCTTGGACTCAAACTGAGATACACAATTTTTACTTTTTTGACGATGCTTAATGGATCAAAGCATTCACTGATTGATTGCTAAAAGGTGCATTAATTGATCACCCTGTCTGCAGCCCTAAACATCAGCATATCAACTTCAGGTCTTTGAACTAAACTTGTGACTCTGTTAGTGGATAAATGAGCTGACTGAGGGAAACAATAACAATATAAAGCTTTTATACTTTGACCAGGAGCTGCACACATCCTGAACAATCACAGAAATCTGGATTTCTGTTGTTTTCAAACATCACACATAAAATAACAGAGCAGCTGACCTGATACTAACTATATAGATCAAACATATCAATATCCAATACTCCAGATCGATGCCCAGCCTCATGTTTGGTAACTACGTGGATGAATGTGCAGCTGCGGACACATGATGCAGCCATGCGGGCAGCCTGCAGCTGCAGCTCCGCCACCACCTCCACCTGCTGCGGCCTCCTGTCCCGCTCCGTCCCGCTCCGTCCCTCCTCTCACCGGCCCCGGGTCGTTATCACAAACACCCCACAGACGACCGTTATTTAACAGCCCAGCTCGGGGGCGACCCCCGCCACATGGGTTCGTTTGTTTCGCTAGCCCTCGTGCTAACAGTTAGCTTGTTTTGCCCCGGGACCGCGGTGTTTCCCAGCTGCGGGCCGCGGCCTCCCCTCGCTCCCTCCCGGCCTGCTCAGTAAGCGCGGGGCGGGACGAGCTCCGCGGCCCGGCCGCCCCGGCACCGAGGCTCGGGGCGGACGGCAGCGGGAAACACGGCGACGGTCCGGCCGGGTTTGTGTTTGAGGCACACGGCGGAGCCAGCGTGCGGAGCGGAGACTCACCCTCTGCCGCCACCGAAGCTGCCGTAGGCCCGGTCCCGCTCCTCGTAGCTGTCGAAGTCCGCCATTACTGCTGCTGTGTGTCGGAGGAGGAGGTCCTACACGTCACACACTGAGCGGGTATAGCTGTCCGCAGAGCGCCTGACCGGGAACTCCGACACACACACAAATGTTTCAATGTATTGATTACATTCACAAGGTTGCTCTTTGATGTGTTTATAAATGACTTTAAGAATCCTGAAGTGACTTAAGTTTCTCTAAACTACTTGTTATATCTTAATTAAACCCCCTTTAAGTTAATTTAACGTATATTTTAGATGTTTTTTTTCTCTCTTTATCTCTCTTTTCTGTTTATACGCTTGGATGGATTTATTGTTAGGTATTCTTAACATTCATTGATGATGCTTGGTTGTTACTTGAAGAAACGTAATTTAAAAAAACTTAAAACTCAGAAATATAAATAAATTAAAAAGTACCTAAGTAAAAGTAGTCCAAGATGATGTTTTTTGTCTTTATTAATAACAAATAAGGTACAATGGCACTCACTTTATATCATCAAAAACTTCTTCTTCATCTTTTCCCAAATGGATTACACTTCCTACTGTAATTTTAACTTTAGTCAACACAATGACATAAGATGAATTAAAATAATGCAACAATAACTACAAAAAACAAAACAGAAAAAGCTCTACTCTAGAATAAAAATTAAAAATAAAAATTGCTCCAATTGGAATAGATTGCTAGGAAAAGAAATCTTTGGATTGTATATATAGTATAAAACAGGTTCTCTGTTGTTTCTACATTCGGGTGACTTTTTGACATTTACAGTTTTAAAAGGCTTTTCTTTATATTTTGAGGAAATTGGAAAATTTTATGAATTTAGAAGTCCAACATGAATAAACAACACTGTCGAAAGCAAAACAAACTACAGACATGGACAGTTGATTTAAACAGATCTATCACAAACTTTTCTGTCAGTATTTCGGTGATTCATCAAAATGTTGTTTGTTCAAATTGTCATGTAAATCTGGACAGTTAAAGGGGAACTTGGCAACTCTAGCCATTTCTTGCTGGTTTTCACTTTTGTCATCGCATGTTTTCTCTCAATTTCACAACACGTAAAAAAAAACTCACTTGCGGCACCCTGCACCCCCTTTCTACCGCTGCTGATGTGCCTTTTTTTTGCCGGGCAACTTTTTCATGTGGAGCAATATCTACCAAGGTGGGTAATACATTATACACTAACCGTTATTGAGGGCGGCGTGTGCGTTTATGTGGAATTGCCATAAAGCCGTTCGTGTTTCTCGCTCGTTCTCGCTTCTCACGATACTTCCTATCTCCAACTTAACGGGACGGTAGTCCCAAAGTTGCAAGGTTGGTTTTCCGCCTGGGGACGCTGGAGAGGGGTCACCATTTTCACCGGAACAGGCCATTTAACCATCCAAATGATTTCTAAACGGGTTTATTAAGCTGAAAAAGTTGCCAAGTTCCCCTTTAAGGTTTCTTCCACAGGTCACTTATTAAAATCTAATCACCATCATTTGGTCCTTGTTTCTCGTGAAGCAGAATTACAGATAAATCCACGTGAACCAAAAAAAGCAGAACACACAGTGGTGGATTTTTATTTGTTACAGAAAGTCTAAGGTAATAATTACTGTATAGTTACAACTTTGGCTTCCGGGGGAATTTGGGGGTTGAGCCCACCAAATTCAGCCAGGGACTTGGAAATGCGTGTCTGCCTAGGCCAGAGGCAGCAGCCAACTTGCAACCAGTCCTGGTCCTTGAACGCCACTCTTGTGTAGTCCATCACCTGAGCGCGAGACGGCGACGCGTTCGCTGTCCAATACGAGCCGGACGGACGGGAAGCCAGCAGGCTCCGGATGATAGGAAGTGACGTTACTCGCAGGTCAGTAGAAGTCCTGGTCGTAGTCAGTGGCCTCCATCAGCTGCTTCATCTCCGACACGCTGTTGGCCAGGTAGGACGACAGCTCCTCTGACACACTGACAGACACACACGTCAACAACCTGTGTTTCCATGACGACCAGGAAACGGAGGTTTAGCTTTGTTCCACATTACTGATTCATTATAAGCATGAAAAACAACCATTGACCTTTGCCCTCTTGTTGCTCTTCGTGGCCTCTCACATAAAAATATATATCTCTCTCTCTGACTCCCAGATAGAAGCTCTGGTCTTCTCGCCCTAATCACCAAACCGTTGATTGAACTCATTGGCTGAAAAGAGCTGCTAACATACTGGAACATTATCTGTACACGATGAGGGAAGGCAGAGAAAGTTCATTTTATTTGGGAATCATTTATTTATCCTCTCTCAGCAGAGTTCACTCCTCTAACTCCTCTGCTCTACTCTCACCTATCACCATGAACCTCAACCATCCACAGATATTAACCCTTTATTTATATTTATATGTGTGTATTACATAAAGTCTCCACTTCCTGTATCGGGGTCACATGGACCTCAGGTGTGCTCACCTGCTTCCAGTACTCCGAGCACAGCGGAGGCGGACACGGACCCCATGTTGTTACGAGCAATGCAGCGATCTGCAGCCAACTGGAGTGCTCGAACTTGAGAGGCCCGCCCCGAGACTGCGGAGACAGAGGGAGGTCGGACTGTTGGAAGGAGACGCTCGGAGGAGGTTTTATTAAACTGTCGCGGCTTCTTGTCTCACCTGGACGGAGATGTGGGGGTCGTCTCCGGGCAGGACGACGTCTCGGCCCTCCTTCCTCCACTCGACCAGCGTCATTGGGAACGCAAAGACCTCACAGAGGAAGACCAGACTGCTGCCGGTCCCATTCACCTGACTGTGGGGAGGGACCTTAATGATGGGGACAGACAGACAGACACACAGAAAGACAGACAGACAGACAGACAGACAGACAGTTGTGAGTGTATTGTGGTATCAGAGAAAAAGAAAACACCGATTCCTTAAAAGAATAAATAAAAATGTTGTTGTTGTTGTTGTTGTTGTGGAGTCTGAAAGTGACCGACAGCCAATCAAAGTTAACGTTACTGCAGAAAGTGTTACTTTGTACAGTAATAATAACCTGCAAACAGTCGGTCTACTAGTCAGATCAGAACCAGTTTCAGTGCTGATGTATTCTAGATGTTGTTCTATGATCCAAATATTTCATCAATTTATACAGACAGACAGACAGCAGAAACTACAGAGTGAACCTGTTTGAACGAGCGTCCGACTGCTCTCAGTTTATTTCTCTTTATTTAAACTGAGGAATTTGCTGAAAAGAGCTTCTGACTGAAGGTTTATCTGGATGATGTTTGTGAGATTTCATCTGAATAATTACTGAAATAATAAACAACAACTGAGCTGAAAGAATAAAGTCATAATATATAACTTTAGGTATTTAAACTAAAACATCACTCAGGGCTGGTCCCCATTTACAATGATGTTGAGTAACGTTATAAAATGACTACCAATATAAGATATATATAAGATATTAAAACAGAAATGAATGTAAGAAATCAATTATTTAATTAAACATTAATACAATATATAAGACAAAAGAAACCATGTAAAGAAAGGCGACTATAAAAGCAGTTTGAACAAGATATAAAACAATTCAAGTGAAATCAGTTCAGACAGGTTGAATAATAATAAATAATAAATAATTATTAGTTATTAGAAACCCTGGAACAGTTAAACTGAACATTATCGTTTACATACAAACTACCTGCTCAATGTTTTAATGACAATTTAACTTTGTGGTCTTCAATTTGAAGCCAGAAAACACAAACGCGACTTGAAATGAAAATATCACCAATGAAACACAATATTTTACAACATATATCCAAGTGTGAAACTTGGAAACCAACTCTTTATAACTCTTTATAACTCTTTACAACTCTTTATAACGGCGTCAGAGAGTTTTGTCGCCACTCAGAGACAAACTACAAACATTGTGATTCAACATACAAAACTCAGAAATTCCCCGACACAAAGTACATATAAGTAATGTTTTATCTCGTGTTTATCACAAACGTTACTGACCTTCTGAAGTTTGTAGTTTGAAGAAAATAAATCCAAATATCAGGAGCAGTTGACTTCTTCTCTGTTCTCCTCTGTTCACTCACACAGTCAAGGAGGCGAGACGGAGTTTGAGTGGCCAGAGTGCACCTTACACCTGTAGAATGAATGAATGGGGAACAGTTTAGGACAAGAATTCTGTCCTGGAGATAAAAATGAGCCTTCGCGCTGTAGGCCGAGGAGTCTTCTCTGTCGGGCAGCCAATCAGAACCCGGTGTTCCTTAAAACGAACATAGCCGATCTTCTGAAACCGAGCCGAAGCCTCCCTAGCAACGCCATACAGACCATAAACTACAGATCCGTGCAGCAAGCGAGGAGAGGAGACGAATATATAACTTTATGATATATAACACTATGAATTCACTGAAATGCCCAGAGTGTTTTTACTGAGTACCTGCATCAACTTTTACATTAGTTGTTATTTGAAGGCGTTAAAAATAGTTCGGTGGTTTATTGTTATGCTAGTTATCGTCAACGTTACTCTTTTATCAAAATATGGCGATCTATGTCAGGAAATGTTGTATGTTGGGAAAATATGGCTAATGAAGTTTGGAATGCATGTTATGTCTGTATTTCTGTGCATTTTCCATCATATAGCAGGTTGTGCTGCTGTTCATACTGTTTATACACCTTACTGCATGCATTATGCATGTATTACTTGCATGTACAAGCACCATTGCATGGCATTTATTGTCAGCTTATATTGAATAATATGTTGTCTTTTGATTGTAGAAATGGATATTGCAAATTTAAATTCCCTGGAGTCGTTACATCTGCTCCTCAACCTGTTCATTCCAGGTAAGCTGCACATTCAATTTTGTACCGTCGTGTGTTTTCGCTCTTTGAAATGCATAAGTCGTTAATTTCACCTCTCGTCCTCACAGGAGACAGTGCCAGCGCCTGGCTATTTCAGGCTTTTCTCCGGAAGGGTTGGCGATGGAACAGGGGGCGGCGTCCAGGCGGAGGGAGGTCGCGGACGCGCGCCAACAGTGGCCCCCGCTGCACCCCGACCAGCTCACCAAAGGGTGCTTGGCACGAGTCTGGTTCAGGACTACAACAGGGAGTACACCGGTGAAAAACTCAAACCACTTTTGAAACAGCTACACTACATTTGTCTTACAAAATGATTGATTGTGTGTTTTTATTGTGCTTTTTGGTGATTTGACTGGAGGGGGGCTCATCGGGGTTTTGTTCCTGTACTCCCAGACTGGGCAGAGCTGCAGGACATCAGACTGGACTCCGGGGAGGGGACATTCCTCTTACCCCACCCACTGAGGAAGGATTTGACGTCGCCCACAAGGAGGTGGATGACCTCACCATCCCGCCTCCGGACCTTTCCACAACCTCAGAGGATCCGCAGAACCAGATGATGTACCCATGCCTGAGTCACCACACGACCACCCCTGAGCCAGGCCAGCCATCCGCCCCTCAGCCAGCTCCGAGGTAAAACAACACCCCCTGCACCACAATCATCTGCCTTTACACACCCAGCCAGCACCTCCTTTTCACTACATTTATTCATTCTCTGCCTGTGTGTGTCTGCGGAGTACAGGGCCGGACCCAGCCTGGCTTCCTCGCCATGGTCAAGCTGGCCACGGCCTTAGTGGGGTTGCGGACAGAAGAGGCCTTGTCCGAGGGAGGGTCGATGAGCTCATCGAGCCTATGAGGCCTGGTGCTTACCCCCCATAGGACAGCCAGCTCAGGGCGCTTCAAGGCATAAATCATCGCACACCAGCATTGTTGGTGGGAAACAAAATTTTGAAAAAAGTATTATATGAAATATGCACATTACACAGTGGTGGCAGCGGCGGGCCCGGTGGCGGCGGTGGAGCGTCCCACAGACACATCACACTGAAAAAAATAACTCATAAGATTTACTTAAAAAATATATTGTAAGTATTTGCACGCAAATGATTCAAGTAAAATTTAATGCTGCAATATCAAGTAACACTAACTTGCCAGTATCAAGTAAATTTTACTTACCATAAAACATAACAGTTGTGAAGATATTAAGTAACATTTACTTAATTACATCCAAGTTTTAAGTTATGTGTATTTAAACAAATTAAGTAAAGTCTACTTGTTTTTCATAGGCAAGAACATCATTTTCCTCAAAATTTTAAGTAAATTTTATATATCTGTAGTATTTGCTGTTATGACGTAATTTAGTAGATTTTAATTATTTTCTTGTGCTTGACATTTTAATTTACTTGGTTGCATTACGTTACATTACTCACTAAAATTAGGTAATCATTGCCAGTTTTCTTTTGATAAATGTTACCAATTTAAATTTAACCAATACTCTATGCATTTAATATATATTTATCACATATCACACAACTAAATTACAATGCAATTAAACTGTTTATTTTTAACAAACATGCCCTAAACAACTTCAGGGAGAGGGTCAGGATAGAAACAACTGAAAGTGTAGAATAATGAAACACAGGAACACACACATTAACAGTGCAGGCATGCAGCTGGAGAGATGGGCGGAGCAACTGCAGCCAAACCAGTGGTGTAAGGATTGTACTGCATTAAAAGTAAAAGTGCATTATATTGTACTGCATTAGAATTTGTACTAACAGTAAATTAAATATATATCTCCAGCAAAATGTATTTAAAAAAGAAAGAAAAATATCCAAATTTGTATCATACTACTGAAAGGTGGGTATGACTGGTAAACAACAAATACACAGTATTACACATTATACACCACATCCAACATCGATCTGGTAACATAGTCACTTCTCAAATATGCAATTAAAATCTTACAAACCTACACTCTGAAACAGTGTAAATTCAACATTTAAACCAGTCCTCTAGACTAGTGCACTTTTAAGAATGCAATTAAAACATTAATAAAATCAACAAAATAAATTAAAAATGAACAGCTTAAGGTGTCTAACCATTCTAGATGAAGAATAAAATCTTTACTGTAATTAAAAGATACCTTATTTGACAAAAAATGAAAAATATTTATGACAGGCAACTTCCCACTAGTAAACCAAGATGAACTGGAACTAAATGCAAATTCTTGGCATTTCTTCACAAGGGTCCATGCATGATGCCACATTTTTCTCCTCTAGGATGACAAAGTCATGACATGCATTTCGGAAAGCAACTTCAACTTCAAGGTGTTTACTTCTGGGGACAGTTTAAAGCCATCCAGCTCCAGCAAGAGTTTTTGGAAAACTTCAAAAGTGTAGCGCAAAGTGGGAGGGTATGCCAAGTTAAGGGCATAAATCAGTCCCATGGGCAGTGAGCAAGCTTTCGCAGTACTGTTGCACCCTGGCAAAATCTCATGGCCTTCGACAAGGATGGAGACATCGACTGGATCCTCATCAGCACCATGGACGACGAGTATTTTGAGGATGTGGTTACTGACATCACTTCGTCTGTCCTCCTGCATACAATGTACAACAAAAAAGAAGAATGTTGTTGAGAAACAAATAATAGAACTGCATGAATCATTCAAAGTGACTTCATTATCAGGGAAGAATGAACACAAGAATATCTCTGTTCCTTTGTCTGCTTTCCTCTTAAATGTAACATTAAATTAACCCGTGTCATTAAACATTATTTTTAAATGATTCAAATCATGCTATACCAAGCAGTCTTCAAAAAGTTCCTCTTCCTTCTCGCCAAGGTACAGTATAATCTCATGCCTCATCTCAATGCTCTGTTTCTGTGAACAGATTAAGAACATGAACATAACCATTATACATACACAATGAACTGTCAAGTGAAAACACAAGTGCATATGTTTGCTCTTGTGTTTTAAGTGCATGGAACCAGAGCGTGCAAGGGCATTAAACCAAGTATGAGGCTTGTGCTGTATATGTGTATGTGTGTGTGAGTGAGAAAAAAAGTAGGCCCATCTCCCTGTAAAACATATGAATAAGCAAAACTAGCACACCTGACTCAGTCTGTCCAGGAGCGGCCTCATCTTGATCCCCATGGCACCTCCCTTGGCTTTCATCAGTGTAATAAGTTTTGGTGTGTATTCGTCAAGTTTGTGCATGAAGGTTCGCTCCAGGGGAATGGTAGTTCAATTCAATTCAATTTTATTTGTATAGCGCCAATTCATAACAGAAGTTATCTCAGGACACTTTTCAAATAGAGCAGGTCTAGACCGAACTCTTTAACATTAATTACAGAGACCCAA